AACCCTTGGCCAGGCGCGGTGGCTCACGCCTGTAATCTCAACACTTTGGGAGGCCAAGACGGGCGGATCATAAGGTCAGGAGATCAAGACCACCCTGGCTAACCTGGTGAAACCCTGTCTCTACTAAAAATACAAAAATTAGCCGGGCGCGGTGGCGGGCGCCTGTAGTACCAGCTACTTGGGAGGCTGAGGCAGGAGAATGGCGTGAACCCAGGAGGCGGAGCTTGCAGTGAGTGGAGATCACACCACTGCACTCCAGCCTGGGCAACAGAGTGAGACTCTGTCTCAAAAAAAAAAAAAAAGAAATAGAAAAACCCATCCTAAAATGTACATGGAATCTCAAGGGACCCTGAATAGCCAAAACAGTCCTTCTAAAGGAGACCAAAGCTAGAGGACTCGTGCTTCCTGATTTCAAAACTTACTATAAAGCTGTACTAATCAAAACAGTGTGGTACTGGCATAAAGACAGACATATAAACCAATGGAAATACAATAGAGGCCCCAGAAACATACCCTAACATATATGGTCAAATGATTTTTTTTTTAAGAAATGGGGTCTTGCTGTATTGCCCAGGCTGGATTCAGGGTCCTGGGAGGATCAAATAATCTTCCTGCCTCAGCCTCATGCACCTCTCTTGTGGTCAAATGATTTTTGACAAGGATACTAAGGCTACTTGGTACGAAAAGGACAGTCTTTTCAAATGATGATGCTAAGTTGCCTGTGTTGCAGGAAGACAGATCAGGCGCCCGGGGCATATTGGCAATTTGGGTGCTGGTTTCTGAGGGAAAATATTAATCCATAGTGCATTTTTCATCTAAGCTTCCTCCTGATGGCGTTCCAAAGCAAGTGTTCCTCTCCACCTACTTTTTTCTTTTTTTGGTTTTTGAGACAGGATCTTGCTCTGTCTCCCAGGCTGGAGTGCATTGGCATGATCATGGCTCACTGCAGCCTTGACCTCCTGGGCTCAAGCAATCCTCCCACCTCAGCCTCCCATGTAGGTGGGACCACAGGCGAATGCCACCACACCCAGCTAATTTTTTTGGTTTTTATTTTTTAAAGAGATGGGATCTCACTGTGTTGCCCAGGCTGGTCTTGAACTCCTGGGCTCAGGTGATCTTCCTGCCTTGGCCTCCTAAAGTGCTGGGATTACAGGCATGAGCCATCGCACCTGGCCTTCTACCCGCTTTCAAGATCTATTTAGATGAGACATATGTCTGACTGAATGGGCTAGGGGAAGGCGCAGTTCACAGATTGCTGTGTAAGATTCAGAGATTTGCACGTTCGCTGGTATGTTCATGGTGCATTGGTTAGGGAGAAAATGAAGCTTCACTCTGATGCCATACTCTCGAAGTGTCATTCTTATTTTGTTGTTTTGTTTTTTTCTTTTTCTGTTTTTAAAGATGATTCTCCTTTCTACTCCCCCAGAAACATCCAGCTACCTCTTCTAAGAACTAGAAATTTGAGTGTTCTCATAGCCAGCCAGAAGTCAGTGACAGCCTTCAACTCTTGTTGTAAATAGAAACATAACCGTGTCCTGCATGTGCTTCAGAGGCCGTCTCTGCAGTGCCGTCCTCCACAGACAAGGCCCATGCGGGGCTTCTGAGTCAGCAGTCAGCTGCCGTGGACAAAACATGCAGGCTGGAGTCAGCTGGCAGAGACTCACAGATGCCTGGAAACCTGGCATCACCTCCTCTTCCTCCCCGCAACCCCCCTGCCCGGCTCCGCACTTCCTCTGCCCCTTCCTTGCACACCTTGGCTTTTCAGTTTCTGGGATTTCTGGCACCTTCCTGCCAGGTTTCCTGGTCAACAGGTTCCTGTGATTATGAACTGTACACAGGGTGGTGCAGGACAGGCCAGGAGGAGCATGATCTGGCTTTGACCTTCAGGAATGAGGGAAATGGGGGCGGTAACAGGAATAGCCCTGCTCCGCCGTGCTTCCCGGCTGTTGTCAGAGCCAGTGAGAATGCTGGGTAAGCCCCTTGCAGAGTGAGACAGGCCCAGCCCAGCAGAGCCACAGAGCAATGCTGTCACACTCTGGAGGAGTCTTTGCGCTGCAGTCATTCAGCCGCAAAGCAGGAAAAGTGAGGCAGCCCAAGGGAATTCATCTTGTGTTGTCTTACCTTGAGTGCCGGTCGCATTGTTCCAGGAGCCAGCCTGCCTCTGTTCATCTGTTGTCCCCAGTGCCCTGCAGGTCGAAATCTCTTCAGCCAGAGACTTAATACTTGCCTGCTGGTTGGCTCTGCAGCTCTCTGGGAGCTCTGGCTGACATCTGTTAATTTAAGTGTTTTTCACTAGCAGAAGGATTGGGGACAGTTATTAGTGAAGGCGTTCCTCTGTAGTGGGGTTTGATTTGAAAGTTCTTTATGGTGGTTAGCAGCTCTTCGGAAGTGAATTATTTCAAACCGAGTGGGTTACAGCTAACCAAGGGGTTGTTAGCTCACACGGAAGAACTCTTCTTGGGAAATAAGTGCCCAAGACCCTCTTTCAAGGGAGGTGTAAGCCAAGGCAGGCGCTATGACAGGAAGGGTTTTGGAATTATGGGTTGCAGGATCTTTAATGTCTTGACTTCAGCAAGAATGTCGTGGTTCTGAGCGCTCTGAATCCTGGCAAGGAGTCGAAAGTGGCTGCTGTTTAGGAACAAAGAAAAGTCATTTTCTTCCTTGACATGAGGTAGCAGTGGATGAGACCCAGTGTATGCAAAGCTTACCAAACACTGTGACTCTGGTGTTTAGGTTGACTGAAGGCAGGCAGAGCATACAGACAGGGTCTGGATTGTGCTGTGCCGTGCTGTGTGCTTCTCAAAGAGCAGGTGAAGCCTCCAAAGTCCCCACAAAGAGGTCAGGAGGCAAAGAGAGCCCCTGATGTAGAAAATGCTGCGGGACCTTTGTTTCTAGTCATGGGCTGTCAGCTGTCACCGTTTCTCCTGCCTTCGCATAAGCACATCTGCTCTTTCCTGCCCTACAAGCCATCTTTTGACTTTCTGACATTTCTAAGATAAGCCTTGACTTGTAAGAGAAACAATGGGCCCTTTTTAGGAACTATAAAGTACTTACCTTTCTGCTACCTAGAATAAAACTTTTCTTTTTGGGGGAAACGGAATGTTAATTCTAGTTAGCTCCATTTCTTGCTGGCCTCCTAGCCATGTGGCTATTGGGAGAAGCTGTATGTGTTAACAGTGTATTGTTTTTTCTGGATTTGTTTTGTTTTGTTTTTGAGACAGGGTCTTATGCTGTCGCTGAGGCTGGAGTGCAGCGGCACAATCTCAGCTCACTGCAACCTCTGCCTCCTGAATTCAAGCAATTCTCATGCCTCAGCCTCCTGAGTAGCTGGGATTACAGGCGTGTGCCACCCTGCCTTGCTAATTTTTGTATTTTTTGGTAGGGATAGGATTTCATCATGTTGGCCAGGCTGGTCTTGAACTCCTGACCTCAAGTGATTCACCCACCTTGGCCTCCCAAAGTGCTGGGATTACAAGCATAAGCCACCGCACTGGGCCAACGGTGTAGTTTTTAATATCTAGAGCCAAGAGCGGTTGTTGAGTACGTGACATATTTGAAGCGAAAAGCCGAGCCAGTGTGTTCTGTCTGCAGTGTATCCTCCACATTATATGATGAGTGTTGTGTCTGTTGACATAGAAAACATAAGGTGGAGAGGGCAGTTCCTTGTATTTAGTTATGACTTTCTCTCATGAAACTTAAGATGCATCTCATTTGGTTTGGTTTAATCCCATGATACCATGGTGAGGTGCAGAGAGAAGTGGCATGTCATTTCTATTTCACACTGCTGCTCAGTGTCTTACCCAAAGTGACAGCTTCAGGGCCTCTCCTGTGTCATTCTGGAACATGGCGCTCGTCTTCCGAGAGTTGGTTTCAGCAGCACCTGCAGCTGAATAGTGGGCAGTTTCTTGCTTCTACATGCCTCCTGAACACAGTGCATCAACCACTCCCTTCCTCTGTCTGCGCCCAACCCCAAGGGTACATCTTTAGAGCAAAGTCCAGTCCAGTTGTGTTGGTCAGCCTCGTGGTAAATGGGTGATGTGCCTGTGCTGGACCGTTGTGATGTGAGCACCAAGAGCAAGTGCTGTGGGCATGTGGATTTCTCAGCAGGAGCCTTGGAGAACTTCAGAAGTGAAGAGTCTTAGGGGTGCTGTCTAACCTACTTGCCTTACACACAGGGAAACCAAGGGTTCGTGTGACAGTGCTCACCCCGGGTTGTGAGCGGGGTCATGCTGCTGGGGTCTGGCTGTGTGGGCTCAGCCCTGTGGTCATGCTTGCCTCGCCACCCTGACCCACTCTCCACTCTCTAGTTTTGTCCTTTGTCCTTTTGCCTCCCAGTACAGTTCCAGTGGCGAGGATTCACCAGATGTGACGCCAAAATGATTCCGCAGACTCACAGGAGCCGGTGGGTGCAGGTGGGGAAGGTGGCTCGCTGTTCCACTGGCACCGAGGAGTGCTTCTATTTTTAATCCATTGGCCTGATGTCTCCGTTTAATCTGGGGCCTAAGCTGGAAACCTGGGAGTCACCCTTGCCTCTTTGATCCCTATGAGTCACTCAGGCCTGCCTGTGTCACTTTCCCATGTCCTGCACCTCTTCCCTGCCTGGCTAACATTTATGCTGAGAGACTCAGCTGTCACCTCTCAGAGGCTCACCTTCAGTGGGGACCCCGCTTCACCACCAATAGTGACTTAGATCCTCTTTCTCTGTTTCCCAGCTCCCCTTGTGTCTCCCTCTTTAGTGGCACTTGGTACGGTCCATCAAGACATTCTGTGTCTGTGTCTGCCTCATCTCCTAGACTATCAGATCCTTGAGAGCAAGAACCATCCTGCTCACCTTTCCAGCCCCAGTGTCTCGTAGTGCCTGGAGTGTTGCAGATGTGCAGTCCATACTTGTGGATGGATGACTGCGACACTTGAGAACTCTGCTTTGAAGAGGAGTATGTCTCCTGGAGAATGTTTGTAGACAGAGAAATACTGACCGTCTTTTTCTTTCTTTTTGTCAGATTAACGTGCCAGTGTCAGGTGGACCCACAGCCATCCCACCGCCCCCTCTGGGAGTGCTGAGAGTGAGGCAGCATGGAGGAGAGGAAGCATGAGACCATGAACCCAGCTCATGTCCTCTTTGACCGGTTTGTCCAGGCCACCACCTGCAAGGGAACCCTCAAGGCCTTCCAGGAGCTCTGTGACCACCTGGAACTGAAGCCAAAGGACTACCGCTCCTTCTATCACAAGCTCAAGTCCAAGCTTAACTACTGGAAAGCCAAAGCCCTCTGGGCGAAGTTGGACAAACGGGGCAGTCACAAAGACTACAAAAAGGGAAAAGCATGCACCAACACCAAGGTAAGCTTTGATCCTGTTGGGCCCTGGGGTCACTGACATGAGGATTCATCCAGATGCCAAAGAGGAGGATTGAGTTAGAGGTAGGCTGAGTGAGAACCAGGCAAAGTCTAGCCACAACCTAGCACAGGAAATCAAGCTTTGACCTGTTGAAACTTTGTGGATCTCTTACCTCTTTTTGTTTGACTTGCATGACCCAGACCCTATTTTAAGCGTATTTCATGTATTTACATATTGAACGTTCAGAGTTTCAAGTATTTAAGAACAACCAAAGTCAAGTGGCATGGGAACTTTTTATTTTGCCAAAGCTCTCTTTTGAACCTCACGTGGTTCGGAGGATGCAGGTCACTTAGCAGGGACGTAGCCAAGCCCTACTGGTATCCTGTCTGAACACGGCTTTGGGGTTCTTGGCATGTCCTCTTTCCAAAGTCATCGTTCCATACTCAGTAACTGGTAAGGTATGCTATTTGCCAGCTTGGGATTTGCCACAAGCTTCCAGCCTCTTCCCATCCGTGTTCCAAAGGTCTGTTTTGATTCATAAGCAGGGACTTTGTGAACCAAAGTATTTCTGTTGCTTTCTTCACCACGTGGAGAAATAGGTAGGCCCTATTTCTCGAAGCAGGTAGGCCCAGGCAAAGACCTGAGTTATGCACTTGCCTTTGTTGGGGTAGCTGCAAGGAAGCGGCTATGGAGAGATACATTTCCTGCTTCCCTCCTTAGAAGAACACCTAATGTGAGAAGTTTGGAACAAGCTAGCAGGGACACAAATTTGCAGATGACTTCATGGCTATGTTATGTTCTTTCACGAGCTTTAATTTGTGCAATAGGGGTTACCTAGAGCCCCACCCCTAGTGGATTTGCACTGGGGTAGATATTCATCAGCAAAATTCAAGAACTGTGAAGGTGTGACATTCATGAGTGAGTACTGGACTCTACTAAGAGAAAAACAAAGCCAAAAGCATTGCACGTTTTCCTTCTGCACACACAGAGCAAACTACTTAAGATATGTGTCCAGTCTCCTGCTGAGTACTTCTCTGGAGTGTGGATTTTCAAGATCGTATTCCTGGACTTTCAGTCTAGAAATGGGGATTTTGGAACTCTTTTCAGCACATAAAACTTTGTCTTGAAAATTGCTTCCTGGGAATCATGTGTGTGGTAGATTCATTCCAGCAGGCTTGAGATTGTGTACATAGGACTCTGTATCTCTTTGGACAGAAATCTGCCTGACCTAGAAACCTTCCAAACGGTCCTCTCCTGTTGATGTAAGATTGCATTTGATTTTCATATCGTTTGTTGAGATGATGGCCACTTAAATATGCTGCAGATCAAGGGCCTTCCAGGCTGTCCAAGGTGAACAGGTGTCGGGCTTGTGTCTAGCACTGATGGTTCTGTCTTCTCCATTCATGGTGATCACTAGCTCTTCTCTTCAGCCATGGCAGGTGTTCTGCGGTGACCCACATAGGTGTGAAGGTTTCTTGGCAGTGGGGAGAATAGCCCTATTTCAGGGCTTTAGGGAGTGATGATCATACGATCATGAGACTTCTTTAGAATTGTTTGTTGGAAGTGCTGCCTGCCCTGAAAGCAGCTGTGTTTTTCAGTGTCTCATCATTGGGGCTGGCCCCTGTGGTCTCCGTACAGCCATCGACTTATCCTTACTGGGGGCCAAGGTGGTTGTTATTGAGAAACGAGATGCCTTCTCCCGCAACAACGTCTTGCATCTCTGGCCATTCACCATACATGATCTACGAGGTCTGGGTGCCAAGAAGTTCTATGGCAAGTTCTGTGCCGGAGCCATCGACCATATCAGTAAGTAAAACTAGCTTTCCTGTAAGGTTCCACCCTACCCCTCGCACACGTGTTCATTAGAAAGAGATGGGTGGATTAGCTGAAGAATTCATATGCCGCCAAATTTCTTCTAATCTCATTGCTGTCTTTCTTGTAGTAAGTGCACTCATCTTGAAGTAAAAACACCTGCTATGCAGTGGTTCTGTAATTTAGGACTCTTAAATGTGAGCATATCGGTAACCTATGAAATTGTGGGGTTTGACCTGAGGATTTCTAAGTTAGGTCTTGGACTCTTACTGAGCTCTTGCAGTTTGCGGGATGGGCACTGGGGCCAGGCACTGGGGAAACGATGACCAGTTTGGGCCCAGACCCTCTGGTGGTCCTTCTTGCAGTGGCAGAAGTACACAGGCGTGCAGCTGTCTGTGCTGTGACCTGATATGTGCTCTACTAATATAAGAACAAAGTGCTGTGGGGACAGAGTCCTGGGGGAAGCCACGCTTGCAGAAGGAGCAGAGCCCTGGCCGGGCCGCTAATGGCAACGGGATAATGGCATCCCTCTGGTTAGGTGGTTCTTGTGTGGTCTGCAAGCCCTTGTTGTACTTTTCTCACATCCAAGCTCAGCCCGGGGCTGTGCTTTTCTGAGATTCTACAGGGTATGAATACAAGTTAATGCAATCAGCGATGTTTGACTGTAAGTGGCCAGAAAAGCAATTCAGAACAGACAGTGTGCGTTATGAAACTGAAGGCTTTTTATTGATTATCATTAATGCTTTCAGGAAAGCTTTATCAAGGAGCCTTTGTTCTGAGCTTCTCCAGATGTGTCCTGTAAACACATTCAGTCATGGAACCTTTTGCTGTTTGCATCAGCTGTGCCAATTTATCAGACGCTGGCTGGCAGTCACCACATTCCACTGGCAGAGGAAGCGCTGTGCCCATCTGTTGGCTGTAGTTTATAAAGCATCTTGGAACCCACAGTTCTCTGCGAAAATACTATGCTAGTGCAGAGTTTAACAAGTCTTTGGGAGTGGGACTCAGAAGGGTGGTGGCTGTGGTAAACTGGGGAGAACTACCAAGATGACGTGAGGAGGGTTTGCATTGCTCCTGGCACATTAGACCCAGTTAAGTTTGGTCTTAAGAGAGGACCAAGGGTCATTAACTCAGTGGATTTGTCTGCCTTATTTGTGGCAAAATTCATCTTAGGGTTGAGAGGGTCTTCTACCAGGGCCTAGATCTTTATCTCTACACCTTAAGTCCCTGCCATGTCTGGTGCCTACAGGTGCTCATGGACGTTGAATAAATCAATCAGTCTCACTATGAAAATAAGCAAGATTGTCAGTCATTCTGGCCTCAGTTTCCACAGCTGTAGACCAGGAGTGGCAGGGGGAATGGGAGGAGGATCTGGTTGGATTATGATTTCCCTTCTTGCCTTATAAGGATGTGTGATGATCAACCAGGGAATGGGCTGAAAGAGACGCCCATGGGCAGGGAGGTCATGCAGCAGCTTTGCATCTGACTGTGGGCTGTACCCTGTGGGTGCACCTCTGCCTCCTGACCTAGCAGGATCAGAGATGCCACCAATATGGCAGCCCCGAATTGGAAAGATGGAAAGGGATCTCCTGTAGGCCACAATCCCGTGTTGTCTCCAAGCTTTTGGTTGTTTAGAACACTGAACCCAAGAGGTAGGAGTGTCCTGTGTGTTGCTCTAGAACATCTTTTCCACTGGGTTATATTTGCCTTAAAGAAAGGAAGAAGTTACGGAGTGTGGCTTCGGAATGTCTCCTGCTACAGCAGGCTTTGGGAATCTGAATGAAGGGAGCGTGGGTGGTGGGGTGGGAGCCTGAGCCGTGACACAGATGGATACCCTCTTCTCCATGTGTTCCCGCCAACACCATCTCTGTTTTCTCCCAGGTATCCGTCAGCTCCAACTAATACTTTTGAAAGTAGCCTTGATCCTAGGCATTGAAATCCATGTCAATGTGGAATTCCAAGGACTTATACAACCTCCTGAGGACCAAGAGAATGAACGTAAGTTATACTGGAGGAGTGAAGAAGGCGTGAGAGGGTGTTGATGGATGAGGAAGATGAGATTGAGGGAGCAAACCAAAGGCCCCTGAGGGCTGCTTCCAGAGCTAGCCAAAGCCTGTGCCTGTGGGGACGTGGCCTGGATGCAGCCTTCGATGTCGCAGGTGCACATGTGGTGGGAAGGGCTTCGTGGGCCCTCTGCAAGGCTTCTTTCCTTCTGTAGTTTGTCCCCACTGCTTTTTCTTTTTTAGACGAGAGTCTCACTCTGTCACCCAGCCTGGAGTGCGGTAGCTCAGTCTTGGCTCACTGTGACCTCTGAGCAGTTCTCCTGCCTAGGTCTCCAGAGTAGCTGGGGTTACAGGCGCGCGCCACCACGCCTGGCTAATTTTGGTATATTTAGTAGAGACAGGGTTTCACCATGCTGGCCAGGGTGGTCTTGAACTCCTGGCCTCAAGTAGTCTGCCAGCCTCTGCCTCCCTAAGTGCTGGGATTAGAGGCGTGAGCCACCGCGGCCAGCCTCTGTCTCCACTGCTTCTACACATAGTGTTTTTGGCCCAGGGTTTTGTGCAGTTCACATGACTGGGTATCTAGAGATGGTCCTGGCTGTGAATGTGGTCTGGGTGGTGACCCCCATTTATTTGGTTTTGGTCCACAGGGATAGGCTGGCGGGCACTGGTGCACCCCAAGACTCATCCTGTGTCAGAGTATGAATTTGAAGTGATCATCGGTGGGGATGGTCGGAGGAACACCTTGGAAGGTATTGGTCTGTGCTCCTCTGCCTGACTCATAGCAGAGGGGAAAGCGGATGCTGTCCTACCCCTGGGGTGAGACTGTGTGTGACCAGGGTCCTCTCTTTTGAGAGCCTGAATGTGTGCTTCCTGCCCTGATGGAATGGCAGGTCCTGCCTTCCTCTAGCCAGCTGGCACTCGGGCCGCTGCTTTTATTTTATTTAACTATTTCATTTTTGAGACAGGGTCTCGTTCTTTTGCCCAGGCTGGAGTGCAATAGTATGAGCACGTTCACTGCAGCCTCGATCTGCCTGGTCTCAAGCGATCCTCCCATCTCAGCCTCCTGAGTAGGTGGGACTACAGGCGCGTGCCACCATATCCAGCTAATTTTTATGTTTTTTGTAGAGATTGGGTTTTCGCCATGTTGCCTAAGCTGGTCTCGAACTCCTTGGCTCAAGCAGTCTGCCCGCCTTGGCCTCCCAAAGTGTTGGGATTACAGGTGTGAACCACCTCACCTCGCCCAGGCTGCTGCTTACAGGGCACTCTTGCTGGGGCACTAGGAGACGAGCCATACCTTGAGTGGCTGGCACCTGTAGGACTTAATCTACATATTAATGAGCAGGTACTCCCCCAACACATCCCTTTTTTAAAGAGGAATCCCTGGTACTAAGTAATATTCCGGCCAGTCAGATTTCAAATTGTTTGTTAACGGAGACTTTGACTTCGTTCCTGAATTTTCATATTCCTAGGTAGGTAAATACCTTGTTTTCATCTGCAGAAGAGCTGCCCTAACTTCCCCATCAGTTCTCATCCCCAGCTTTCCCTGATGTCTTTATCAGCACCCCCACTTTCATTTGAAGTGATCTTCCTTCTCTAGCCAGCGATTTATCACCTCCCTCCAGGGTTTCGTCGGAAAGAATTCCGTGGCAAACTGGCCATCGCCATCACCGCAAATTTTATCAACCGAAATACAACAGCAGAAGCTAAAGTGGAAGAGATCAGTGGTGTGGCTTTTATATTCAACCAAAAATTTTTCCAGGAACTGAGGGAAGCCACAGGTTGGTGTTGATGTCTCCGGAGCCTAGGATAGAAACTTAAATAGTCCCTGGGGACGTTTTCTTGGGGGGTTGGTGGGATGAGTGGCCGTCGGGGTGTCTCCTGCACTATCTGCCCCTCCCGCTCTTTTCACTCCTGTGCCTTGTTCCTAGCGCAATGCTTCCTGCAGAACTTGTCTCCTCCTCGCGTATTCTTAACCTCCTTACAGTGACTGGGCTGCTCTGGGTTTTGTTTTTCGTTTGAGACAGAGTCTCGCTCTGTTGCCCAGGCTGGAGTTCAGTGGCGTGATCTCAGCTCACTGCAGCCTCGAACTCCTGGGCTCAAGTGATCCTCCCATCTCAGCCTCCTGAGTAGCTGGGACTAAAGGCAAGAGTCTAATTTTTCATATTATTTGTAGAGGCGGAGTTTCGCCATGTTGCCCAGGCTGCTCCCAAACTCCTGGGCTCTACCTGCCTCAGCCTCCCAAAGTGCTGGGATTACAAGCGTGAGCCACCACATCCAGTCTGAGTTTTTTTGTTTGCTTGTTTATTTGTTTTAAAGCGTTCGTTCTGCCTCCACTGGTTCTTCTCAATGCCTGCCCTGTGCTGTGATGCTAAGTCATGCTGCTTGGTGTAGCTGCTGGCCGGTGGCTCCCTGGTTTGGTTGGGAAGCTGACTTTAGGCCTTTTAAGTATGTAGTCTTCTTCCTGAGTTCCAGCTCAGGCTTGAAGGCAAACCATGTGTCAGATAGCAGTGAGATTGTTGTATAATAGGTTTTGAATAGATCAACGTGGATATTTTGCTAAATGTGCCTTTATTCTTTTGTTTTCTAGAACTTGATTTCTTTCCATTACATCTATTTTTTAGACTAATTGAATTAAAAAGTCAGTAGTTCACTCTCTGCTTCCAGGCGTCAAGTTGTCTATCCTGTTCTTAAGAATCTAGGAGATTCCTCCAGCTTCCTTGATGACTGTCCCGAGAGGCTTAACCCGATAACTAATCCAAGCCCTCTTTAGAGGGTAGCCTCTTTTTTTTTTTTTTTTTTTTTGCTTGTTTTGTTTTTATTCCCGTCCCTCCAGTTCTGTTTCCTAGCAGTCACTGTTTTTAGGATCGTTTGGGGTGTTGAGTGAATACGGAGAAACAAAGCTCCCTGTATTTCCATGAACTAATGATGCAGGACGTGAGAATCTGGGCTTAGACACCTTTCCCTGCCTGGAGTCTCAGGTGCTTGTCTCTGTAGGCCTTTGTGTAACCTTTCAGGCTGCCCTGATGCACCTTCATCTCAGCAAACTCTTACATGCACACATTTGTCTTCTGGCCCTAGGTATTGACTTGGAGAACATCGTTTACTACAAAGATGACACACACTATTTCGTTATGACAGCCAAAAAGCAGAGTTTGCTGGACAAAGGAGTGATACTACATGTGAGCCACGGATTTCCTTCAAAACTCTTTCTTATTGAAGTGGTTAATATCACCAAGAGAAAGAATTGTCTGATGGGTTTTTCCTGCAAGGGAATGAAAATGAGTACTGAACGCATCTTCTGGTAACCCCTGATGTTTTCCAGTTTAGCGTGAACAACTCTTACTATGGCTGATTGCAAATGTAAATAAAAATGGGGGGAGAATAGTGTAATGAACCCTCACGTACCCACCATCCAGCTTTCACAGTTGTCGACACATGGCCAGTGTTCTGTCAGTAATACTCCAGCGCATTCCTCCTTCACCACGGGATTCTTGCAAAGCAAGTTTCAGATGGCATTTCATGCATAAACATTCAGTTTAATGTTAGGTGATGGGGTTTCTGGTTATTGTTAATTCCATATCTGACTGATGATTGCTTGGTTGAAGAATTATCTTCTGGGAGGGAGAGTGATAGAGGGAAGGGAGTTTGACCAAGAAGCAATGATTGGTGTTTATGGGAGCCTGATGAGGGTTCTCGTGTCACTGCAGATACAGCTTTCAGAGGTCCAGGCAGCACTGACAGGATCAGGCTACACTTAGGCCTCTTTATGACCACAGAACAGGTCTGACCGTCCATCCTAGCCAGGTCCAGCTCACCTGTTTCTAGGTGACTGCATGGCATGCCCTGAGACGATGGCCTGAAATATGAAGTCAGAAGACCACCACGTGGATGGTCCCTGAAGGGAGTTTTTTAAGTCTCGCCTGGTCTCATTGGTCTCAACGTGAGAATCACTGTGCTCATGTGATGAGAAGAACGGAAGCAGAGACACCAGTTGTGCTGATTCAGGCCTGTGCAATTCCCACAAGAGTCTCACAACTGAACTTCAGGGAGTCCTTTGTCTTTGCAGGGTGGTGTGAATGCAGTCTCTTTAGTCTGAGCTGCAGTACTATCTTATCTGACAGCAGAGCGGGGAGTGAGCTGATGAGCACGTGCCAGTGGCAGAGAGCTCCCTCTTTCTACCCAGGAACCTTGAGCTGTTTCTCAGCACAGCCATCCTGTGTGCCTTCAGGGAGAACCAGGACAAAGCTGTTTATACAGCCCACTCTCCCAAAATCATAAGCAAGACGTATCCGGTTAGATGCTTTCTAAAATTGTCTTGCTGGTTATCTGGGACTACATCAGGGTTGTATTGCTGTTAGTAAGAAATAGCCAGTAAAGCAGTTCCTACGCCTTGAGACAAGGTGAAGACTTAAATCTGCCACTTAGGCAGAACTGTGGTTATCGGTCAGCATTCGATAGGAACAGTCTAGAATGCCAAGACCTGGTTTACTTTGCCTTCGTGTTTCTTTTTTTTTTTTTTTTTAAGAGGGCAGAGGCCATACCTTCGGTGTATGCTGTTAAACACTAAACCCATGTGGCTACTTAGTGTTGAACAAACAGTCTTTCTAGGACCAACCTGAGTGTTTGTGTTTTGGCTTTAACATCTTGTAGTGGTGGCTGAAAGGACCATCAGGGCCACTTAGAAACTGTAGGCCCCACTTTCAGAGAATAAAGACTTGGCTCAGTGTGCCAGGAACCTCCAAAACAGAAAAGGAGTTTTTCAGTCCTTTGTTCTTCTTTGTTTGTGGGTTTCTATGGAGTCCTTCAGAGTCTCATTTTACTATTTTGAAACCCTCTGTTTCATTTTCAACATACTCCTTCCCAGCCTCCTGAACTACCATTGCTCCCACCTCCATGTCTTTTTGGCACTCAAGCTTTTTTGGTTTCTTCCTTTGGGTGTCATGAGTTACGCAAGGCTGAGTGTTTCATGTGGTCCCATTTGACAAAAGCCATTTACTACCCGGAAGATAATGAAATGCCCTTTCAGTTCACAAAGTACTATCACGTATGTGATACTCAGAACAACCCTGAGGCAGATAGGATAAGATCAAAGGAATAGTAATTAATCCAAGCAAATGGAAAAGCCACGACTGTGTGTTTTAGGCAGCAAGGTCTATGTTCTCTTGGGAATAATCCAACCCCCCCCCACCCCCTTTTTTTTTTTTTTGAGGTGGAGTCTTACTCTGTCACCTAGGCTAGAGTGCGGTGGTGCTATCTTGGCTCACTGCAACCTCCGCCTCCCAGGCTCAAGCAATTCTCCTGCGTCAGCTTCCCGCGTAGCTGGGGTTACCAGCGCACGCCACCATGCCTGGCTGATTTTTATATTTTTAGTAGAGACGAGGTTTCACCGTGTTGACCAGGCAGGTCTCGAACTCTTGTCCTCAAGTGATCTGCCCGCCCCAGCCTCCCAAAGTGCTGGGATTACAGGTGTGAGCCATTGTGCCTGGCTGCCTTTCCCGTTGCCCCTTTTAATGGTATAAAATTTTAGTTTTGTTTTTGTTTTGTTTTGTTTTGTTTTGTTTTTGAGACAGAGTCTCGCTCTCTCACCCAGGCTGGAGTGCAGTGGCGCGATCTCGGCTCACTGCAAGCTCCGCCTCCCAGGTTCACGCCATTCTCCTGCCTCAGCCTCCCGAGTAGCTGGGACTGCAGGCGCCCACCACCACACCCGGCTAATTTTTTGTATTTTTTTAGTAGAGACGGGATTTCATCAGGTTAGCCAGGATGGTCTCGATCTCCTGACGTCCTGATCCACCCGTCTCGGCCTCCCAAAGTGCTGGGATTACAGGCTTGAAAGTTTTGGTTTTGGAATGTGGAGTCACTTCAGGGGGAGGGAGAAGCTGTGGCCCTGGGTCATATAGGATGGTTCTGGCCCAGTGCCAGGGCTTCTCCATCCCTACCCTCCTCTTTCTCTCGAGACAGGACTACGCCGACACAGAGCTCCTGCTTTCCCGAGAAAATGTGGACCAGGAGGCTCTGCTCAGCTATGCCAGGGAGGCGGCAGACTTCTCCACCCAACAGCAGCTGCCGTCTCTGGATTTTGCCATCAATCACTATGGGCAGCCCGACGTGGCCATGTTTGACTTCACTTGTATGTATGCCTCCGAGAACGCCGCCTTGGTGCGGGAGCAGAACGGACACCAGTTACTAGTGGCTCTGGTCGGGGACAGCCTCCTAGAGGTGAGTGCTAAGCATGGCAGCGCTCTGTGGTGGGGGCAGGAATAATTAGGAGTGAATCTGGGCATCCTAGGTCTTGGAATGAGCGTCTGCAGTGTTGTACAGCACAGGTAAACCCCCTGCAGGAGTCACACCAGGAAGTAGGGGAGCGCTACAGGCCACTGGGAGCCCAGGCTTATTAAGTATGAATGGAAATTCTGCACCTTTTTTGACTTGCTCCCTACCAATCGGGGAAGCAGAGCAGTTTGTTATTGAAACAGTTGCCAAACGCTACTGTCAACAGCAAACTCTTTGTTCCCTAGTTTATTTTTCCTGTTTTGAAAGGTGTTTTATTTTTTAATTCTTTGTTTTGTGTCTTATTTACAGCCTTTCTGGCCAATGGGAACAGGAATAGCCCGGGGCTTTCTAGCTGCTATGGACTCTGCCTGGATGGTCCGAAGTTGGTCTCTAGGAACAAGCCCTTTGGAAGTGCTGGCAGAGAGGTAATGGGAAGTAATCTGGGTTTCCTTTCATGAGAAAACTGGAAAGAAGGAGTGGTTTATTCTTCAGGCAGAGTGCAAGTTCTTCCTTCTCTTTCTGCTTTCTTAATTAAAGATGTTTTCATGTGGAAAAGAGGAAAGGCGAGATAGGATTTCATAGTGTCATAGAAACCTAAAGATGAGTCTCCTGGACTAAGTCTTCTCTTACTCCTTTCCAAGATAAATTTCTTACTGACAGAGAAGAAATTAAAAGTAGCTTTGAATTCAGAGGAAAAATGCCAAACTGCTTATAAATGTTTCTCAAACCCCTAAATGGGTTATGTTGAAGCAGATTTTTACAAATGCAATAAAAATCCTGTGATTTGCTTTCTGATAAGGAACTAATGCCTTGACCAGAATAATTGAGGGATAAGATTTCCCGGATGAAATTGGAAGTTGATACTACTTTATTTTGTCTCTTATTTAAGGTATTCTGACTAAATATAGTGATAATTCTTTTTTTGTGTTGATTATCTTTAAAACTGAAGTAAATATTGGCATGCTTGAAAAAATAAAAGAGTAAATGTGTGGCCTTTTGAGTTGGAGGCAGCGTCTGTGGGTACTGATGGTGTTGTGCCTGCTCTCTCTCCTCGGCTTTTACCCATGGGATCACTGCAAGTGGGTGTGGGGAGCAGGGGCTGACGTAGGGCCCAAGAACACTGGTCAAGGATGAGGATCGGGCATGTCAGGTGACTTGCTGGGCTGTCAGAACTACCATGAAACGAGAGGGAGATGTTCGTGGTGCTGGTCCCGACTCAGAGTATATTGCTGTGTTATTGCAGGGAAAGTATTTATAGGTTGCTGCCTCAGACCACCCCTGAGAATGTGAGTAAGAACTTCAGCCAGTACAGTATCGACCCAGTCACTCGGTATCCCAATATCAACGTCAACTTCCTCCGGCCAAGCCAGGTGAGACCTTCTTGTCAGCATTTACTTCTGGGCCCATCTACAGGACTGATGAGAATGCTGATGTATTGAGATGTGTGCACCTATTAATACCACACATATAAGGATGCTTTTTTAGTAATCCAGATAGATGTCTCTCTGAATTGGTAGAAGTAGATACTATTTTGCATTAACAGATTGAGAGCTAAGGCATAGAGTTGTTAAATGACTTAAGAGAAAATCAAACGTGATAAGAATCCAGGCCTTCATGCCACGTTTCCTAATTCAAATTCTTATTGTAGGGAAGAGCACTTGCCCCATAGTGAGGAGAGGTAACTTCCAACTGTGTTGTTGCTGCCAATCACCTGTGACTTACATTCTCTGAGCCTCAATTTCTTTACCTGAAAAATGGGAATAATAATCCCTGACTACTCAAAGAATTATTGTGAGGACAAAAGAGTTTGTTCACTTGAAAGAATTTGTTCTAGTGTAATTTTTTTTTTTTTTTTTTTTTTTTTGAGACTCTCGCTCTGTCACCCAGGTTGGAGTGAGGTGGCGCGATCTTGGCTCACTGCAGCCTCTGCCTCCTGGGTTCAAGCAGTTCTCCTGCCTCAGCCCCCCGAGTAACTGGGATTACAGACACCCACCACCACACCCGGCTAATTTTTGTATTTTTAGTAGAGACGGGGTTTCACTGTGTTGGTCAGGCTGGTCTTGAACTCCTGACCTCGTGATCTGCCCACCACACCCAGCCCCTGGTGTAATTTTCTGTTCACCTTCTACTTGAAGTTTCCACCTTTAGGCCTCCTGTTAGAGGCAGCGTCATTAGTCCAACCGAGACTCTTAGAGGGAGCCTTCTGTTAAGTGGCAGCATCCGTCATTAGTCCAACCAAGACTCTTTGAGGGACCTCCATGGCCGAGTAACTCATTTTTTTCTCTTTTTTTTTTTAAAGACAGGGTCTTGCTTTGTTGCCCAGGCTCTCTGGGTGTGGTGGCACTATCTTGGCTCACTGAAGCTTTGACTTCCTGGTCTCAAGTGATCCTCCTACCTCAGCCTCCCAAGTAGCTGGGACTACAGCTAATTTTTAAGTTTTTTGTAGAGACGAGGCCTCCCTGTGTTTCCCAGACTGGTCTCAAACTCCTGGCCTTAAGCAATCTGCTGTCCTCGGCCTCCCCAAGTGTAGGGATTATAGGCGTGAGCCACTGCACCCGCCCTGTGTAGCTGATTTGTAGCACAAAGTGCCATAGTTAAAATGTATTTGTTTTTCTTCAACCCCACCTTATTTCATAAAGGATTTAAAGGTCATCATCCTAGCTTCTGTCTGGACTTTGCCCAGCCTGCTATCCCAGACTTTCCTTTCAGCCATTCTTTTCTTAGGTAGGAATTTGCTGCTTGATATTTGATTTTCCTTCTGTTTGACTTTGTAAATTTCTGCCAGGTGCGCCATTTATATGATACTGGTGAAACAAAAGATATTCACCTGGAAATGGAGAGCCTGGTGAATTCCCGAACCACCCCCAAATTGACTCGCAATGGTGAGTTCTGGTGGTGGCTTTTTAAGATGCAGGCAGCCCCTTCAGAGAAGTCTGTACTCATTCACTGAGCCATAAGGTGCGGTCCGAGGCCGTGGCTGAAGCACTGTCTGAGACAGTGGCTGTCAACCAGGGGTGATTTTGCCCTCCAGGGGATACTTGGTAGTTGTGTGGGGACATTTTTGATTGTCATGATTGGGAGTGGGTACTCCTGGCGTCGAGTGGGCAGGAGCCAGGGAGTGGTCAGGAGCCAAGGATGTTGCTAAACATCCTGCAATGCACAAGACAGGTCTCCATCACACAGAATTACCTTGGCCTGAGGTGTTATGAGAGCATAGAGAGAAACCAGATACAGATGCTGGGCAGAGGGGAGAGAGGAGAGAGTGTCAGAGCTAAGGTTTTGGGGGAAGACTTTGTGGAAGAAGTCTTTGGCTGGGTCCTGCAACATTGCCAGGATTCAGTGACAGGTGAGGACCACTCCAGATTTTGTACGTATTGAAGGCCCCGAAGAGTTTTTTGGAAGAGAGTGACATGAGCACACCTGGTCAGCCACATGTGAGAGGGGATGGAGGAGGGAAGTGCCAGAGGCAGGGAGACCAGGTCGAAAAACATAGCCATGGTCAGGCTGAAGGTGGTGAAGGCCCAGATCTGGCCCTGATGCTGAGGATGAAGAAGAGAGGAGGTAGTGGAGGAGACCTCAGACTTTGGGCCAGATGCAGCTGAGTCCTGGGCCAAGCTTTGACATTGGTGAATTGTGCGGCCTCGAAGAGGTGATTGAATAGCTCTGAACTTCAGTTTTCCTGTCTGTGACATGGGGGCAGCAGTGTCTACCTCACATTGTGATCATGAGCGCCAGGCCTCCGGTGGATGGTCATTCCCATTGTTCGTTATGTGAGAGAGAATGGTAAGGAGGTGAAATCGATGGGCAGGGCCAGCTAATCGCCTTGTGGGGCGAGAGGTGTTTGTAGATGGTGCTACATCAGTGTAGACAAGGCAGAGGGAGGGCTGAGAGGGTTGAGTCATTTGGACATTGTGAATTTGATGTGCCATTGGGATGCCAGGGTGGATGTGAGGACCAGCAGGCAGTCGGAAACATTTGCATTTTTCTCCCCTGGAGCGTCTTCTCTTTGAAAGCAGAGAGTGTATCTTTATTCACTGTTTTTATTTTAGAGCCTGGAATACTGAAGTTGCCTGTTACATATTGGATGGTTGGATATACACATAGGAGACAGATCTGAGTAAAAGCTCATTTGTGAGCCAAGAGATGGCACCAGAAAGTGGTTTTATGTGTTATTGCGGAATACATTTTCGCGGTGAAAAACCTAAATGAAACAGGATTTTCACGATACTTGGCTTTTGTCTTGTGTTCACAGATTACTAAATGACTTAGTGCAAACTTCAGTTGCCCTCGGTGAGGGAACAGACTTTCTTGGATATAAATAGTTCGTAGATTCTCCTGAATGGCCCGTATCAGAGCTCTTCTGATGTGATTAATAATAGGATTTTTAAAGAGGCTGTTCAGGTTTTAGAAGACGTTTCAATGAACTGTAAAAAGCATCCCAGCACATGTGTTTGCCTATTCAGTTTTTCAGGGTTGAGAATTCGTAGTACGAGGTGCCAGGCTCCGTTCGGGGACTGTCTGATCTGGGGCCCCAGTGTTGTCAACAGAACCCTGCAGGGCTTCTTCTCTTGGCAAGTTATACAGTGCCTTGGAAGTGCAGGGGCAGGGCCTGGTGCTTTGGGTTGAATGTGCCACCCTGTAGGATGGAGCCTTTTCTCCTCTCCTTTTCCCAGTGCTGCTTTGGAGGGGGAAGGCTTCCTCAGCCAGGTGCCGGCGACTACCTGAGAACTCAGAGCTACTGCAAGCCAGGCTGGCCACACAGTAGGTGGCGCTCCTCCACCTCAGTGCCGCAGGGACAGCGGGCTGCGGCTGTCAGGCTGTGGTCCCTCAGGATGCTGGGGGGTGGCATTGACCTTAGAGTCTGGATAAACTAGTAGTTTCTTTTCTTAGAATTCACTGTCATGATACCGTTTGCATAACCTTGTTCCTCACTGTTTTCTTTGATTGGAAACTAGAGTTGACTGTTCTGTCCCTACCCTCAGTAATTTTTCAAAGTGGACGTGTGTCCTGCAAAGAGGATTCTCTGTCAGTGTTACCAGGTGACCACACCTCCAAGAATAATGTGTTTTGTTGTTTTAGAGTCTGTAGCTCGTTCAAGCAAACTGCTGGGTTGGTGCCAGAGGCAGACAGATGGCTATGCAGGGGTAAACGTGACAGATCTCACCATGTCTTGGAAAAGTGGCTTGGCCCTTTGTGCAATTATTCATAGATACCGCCCGGACTTGATGTAAGTTGTGATCAAACTTTATGTTTTTTTAATATTCCCCAAGGATCTCAGACCACTCTGTTATCAAGTAATATTTTGTCCTTTTTCCTAGAATGAGGTTCATAGTATACTTTCTCTAGAAGGCAGTGATTTTGATTTCACTATATTTGAAACTCTGTATGTCATGTATTATATAGCTCAACCCAGGAATGATTTTTATTTTTATTTTTTTCCAATAAGTCTTTTGCACTCCTATAGCTGAGTTTTAAAAATCACAACACTGATAAGTCAAAAACTGGTTTTGATACCCACCTGGGCCTGTTAGCTTCACACAGAGGAAAACTCTGTTTATTGACCCCGATTGAACTCTTTGTTTCGGCCAGCTATCTCTCAAAATCTTTTTTTTTTTTTTTTTTTTTGATACGAGGAGTCTCGCTTTGTCCCCCCAGCTGGAGTGCCGTGGCGCCATCTCAGCTCACTTCAAGCTCCACCTCCCGGGTTTACGCCATTCTCCTGCTTCAGCCTCTGGAGTAGCTGAGACTACAGGCGCCCGCCACCACGCCCGGCTAATTTTTTGTATTTTTAGTAGAGACGGGGTTTCACCATGTTAGCCAGGATGGTCTCGATCTCCTGACCTCATGATCCACCCACCTCGGCCTCCCAAAGTGCTGGGATTACAGGCATGAGCCACCGCGCCTGACCTAGCTATCTCTCAAGTTCTGTGGGTCACAGGGGAAACCTGGCTAGAACATTTGGCCAGCTCAAGGCAAATGTGTCACTACTAACAAAGCAAAACATCATGAACACTTAACCAATGCATGATGGTTCATAGGTATTTTCTCTGTGTTAAAGACTGCATTTTTTACAGACATATTCTGTTGTCCTACCCACCTATCCCAGTGACATCTCCTTTGGCCATTCTCCACTCACCTGTCTACAGAATCAGCACTCTGGGGTGACCCCAGGTCAGCTGTGGGGGCCAGCACACTCAGGTTCCCCCATTGGCATTTGTTACCACGGAAGCCAGACAGAAGGATTCAGAAGCAGAGCATGTTGCGTTATTTTGGTTTCCTGTCCTTTCCATCAAGAGGTCCACTTAAGAGGCCAATTTCTGTTTGTTTTGTTTAATGATTGCTTAAAGAATCCTGCAAGATATAGTTGCTATTTATATGATGGTTATAAACTGACGAGGCAAGAGCTGGTAAAAATAGCCTTGTGCAGTGTGGATTACCAATGGGGATTTCTGGTGTGCTTGGATGGAGGTAAGTGACCTCTGCTGCTCCTGTCACTTAGCTCACCCAGAAGTTGATAACAAGTAAGTAAGAATAGGGCTTATTCACTCCCGCCAAAGAAAGGGGGTGAGGCAAGGAAGAGCAGCTTGGGAAAGATTGTAGTCAGTGGCAGAGGATGGGCAGGTGAGTCAGCTGTGTTCCGAATGGAACAGGCAGAAGTGGTTGAGGGAGCCTAGCAGGTAGGGGTGGAGGGGCACTGGGCGAAGGTTAGGGGACCGTCTTCTGGGAAGGCAAAGCAGCACAGAGACAGCGCGGCACTGTTCAGCAGCAGTGGGGTCATAGTTTCAGGGGCTGAACCTACAGTGAGGGGGAGTTTGAGAAAGTGGAAAATGCTGTGGGGTCCTAGGTTAACACAGAATAAGGGCTGCTGGGTTAGCCTGAAGTCATGTAAGGAAGAATGCGATCAGTCTTCTGAAAAGCAAGAGGCTTAAACCCAGTAGGAAATGGCCATTAATCTAAATAGGAAACTTAGCAATGGAAACCTTTTTGAGGAGGATTTTGGAATTTCCCCTCCAGGAGAAGGCTGAGATTCATCAGAGCTGATTTAGTACCTTAACAGCTTGTCGGGTCTAAGGGCCATGGTGGGTGACAGTCCCGGGCCTGTAGGGGTAATCTGATTCAAATAGGAGATGTATCGTGTTTTCACATTAGTTTAACATGGATGGGCCATATGCAAGGATCAAGATATGTTAAAGATAAGATAGTTCCTATTATTTTTTATTTTTATTTTTAGAGACAGGGTCCCCCACCCTATTTCTCGGGATAGAGGGCAGTGGCACAGTCATAGCTCATTGCAACCTTGAACTTGCAGGCTCAAGTGATTCTCCTGCCTCAGCCTCCCACATAGCTAGGACTATAGGTACATGCCGCCATGCCTAGCTAATTTTTAATTTGAATTAAATTTTTAATTTAAATTGAGCTCCGGGGCTCAAGCAATTCTGCTGCCTCACCCTTCCAAAGTGTTGGGATCACAGGTATGAACCACTGTGCCCAGCCAGTTCCTATTCTCAAGCTCACATTTTAGTGGTAAATTTGTGTTACCAGAAAAATGAGAGTAGTTTTTCGACTTTTTCCCTTTTTTTTTTCTTTGGTGGGTAAACCTTTCATCACTTCCTGAGGTTACTTTGCTTTTCCTTAGTAAAAAGAACAAGAGGTGAGATAAAACAGGTTTGTTCTCAGGTGTCCACGATGCACAGCACCCTGGATTTTAGCTGAAAACAGAGAAAGGACGATGACTCCAGGATACCGTGTTTCTGTTTAAGGACAGTCAACCTATCTTGATACGTTTTCCTTGTCCTGTTTCTCAGAGATTTTGATTCTTTGGATGAGCAAAATGTGGAGAAGAATAACCAACTGGCCTTTGACATTGCTGAGAAGGAGTTGGGCATTTCTCCCATCATGACAGGCAAAGAAATGGCCTCCGTGGGGGAGCCCGATAAGCTTTCCATGGTGATGTACCTGACTCAGTTCTACGAGATGTTTAAGGACTCCCTCCCCTCTAGCGGTAAGGCCCGGAAGGAGCTCCTGCACCGCCCCCGCTGCTGTGCTGTGGCCCGGCTGTTCCTTCCTTCCTCTCGACTGTCCCGCAGCAGTGCCACCAAACACAAAGTTATTCTGTGTTCTTACCAGTTAGCTGTCAGGGAAATCTCTGGAGCTTTGCTTCATTATTTTTCCCTTCTCTAGTAGTATGTTCTCAACCCCTCATTCTTTCCCAAATCTTTCTCGCTGCATTTATAAAAATGCAGAAATCGTTCCTGTACCAAGTCTTTTTCTATGACTCCACCACCTTCTAGTGCTCGCGCTCTCAGAGCCAGCCTTTTTGAAGAAGTGGTTTGTGCTTGTGGCCTCTGCTTCTGCACGGCCCAAACTTCGTAACGGGTTATAAGCCGGCTTCTCCTCACACTGCGCTACCGCAGCTGTTCCCCAGTGAGGAGGATTCCCACCTCCTAACTCTTTTCTCAGTTCCTGTCTCTCACGCACTTGCTTTTCTGCATTGTGGGGCGCCGGAGAACGATATCCCTTTTCTTGGAATTCTCTTGTCTCCTCCATGTCTGTGATCCTGAACCACACTTGTACCCCTTCTTTCTCCTGTCACTGTGCCTTCTCCGACTTCTTTCTACTCCTACCTCTTAGCACTTCCCAAAAGTCTTTGCTTGGCCCTCAGCTTGCTGCCTCAGACTCTCATAGTGCTACAAAAAATATTCCTGTTGTCATTAATTGTCACTTAAAGTAAGTGTAGCATGAGGCTAGAGTGTTGGCTGTGGGGTCTGACCTGGATTTACAATATCCCAGGCTTCCACTCCTGGCCTTAGGCAAGTTACTAAATTTTCCTGTGTCTCGCTTTCTGTCAACCTGTCTTGTAAAATGGGATAATGGGTGTAAAATGGGGATAATATGTATAATTACATTGTGCTGTGCCAAGAAGGATGTTCGGCCAGTGGAAGTACTTAATAAATGTTAGTGATTTACTATGAATTAATGACTATTTTAAAAATTACTGTTGTTATTAATGAAACATTGAAATCCAAAAAACTTGTGTTACCACATTCCAGTACTTTCCAGCCCATGTATTCTTGTAGGGATCGGTGGCTTTTCCTGGGTAGCCATGCCATTCTTACAACAGAAAGCCACAGCTCTAACACTGATGTACCCATTCAGTGCCACCCCTGTCTGTGTGCAGCTCAGATCGTGGCATCTGCATACACTAAAACCAGGAACCCTGAGTTCATCGCCTCTCTGCTTTTCTCTCTCCCTCCCTCTCTGTCTGTCCCAAAATTTTTATCACAGAAAAATTTTGTTAGTTCAGCACTCTGCTGTAACTAACAATCACAGCCAGCTTCCAACTTCTGAAAAGCAAAAGTGCAGGTTTTGGTAACTGAAGTAGATTGGGAAGAAGAGTCATTTTTGTTGATGTGGATGAAAAAAAGAAGGCTCAGTGTCCATACCCAAGTATGCATTTCCTCCGTGGAGTTTCCTGCTGAGGCCACGTGTTGTCATAGCTGGTGAACCTTTAGAACTTTCTGAGGCTCTGCGAACCATCCATAAGGGAGAGTAGTTTTGGTCGGGATTTTGCGGTGCCCTCAAGGGCTGTGCTTGAACATCACTGGTTTCTGTTCCCAGACACCTTGGACCTAAATGCGGAGGAGAAAGCAGTCCTGATAGCCAGCACCAGATCCCCTATCTCCTTCCTAAGCAAACTTGGCCAGACCATCTCTCGGAAGCGTTCTCCCAAGGTATGTGGAGGAGTCTCTCGACCGGCTGCAAAGCTAATGGCAAGGTATGTGTGGCTAGAATAATGCAGTTTCCCTTCTCCCTTGGTACAGGATAAAAAGGAAAAGGACTTGGATGGTGCTGGGAAGAGGAGAAAGACCAGTCAATCAGAGGAGGTGAGATTCACTTGGGGAGTTGCTAGAATGGTCATGTGGAATACCCCTTTTTGGTTAAAATCCTTCATTTCCACAATGGTATTGCCAGGTCTTTTCCTATTCATCCTTTATGAGAATTTCTGCTGGGCTTTTTCTTTTCTTTTTTCCTTTTTTTTTTTGTTTTTGAGACAGAGTCTTGCTTGTTGCCCAGGCTGGAGTATAGTGGCGTGATCTGGGCTCACTGCAACCTCCGCTTCCTGGGTTTGGGCTCCTGCCTCAGCCTCCCAAGTAGCTGGGATTACAAGTATGTGCCACCACACCCAGCTGATTTTTGTGAATTATTTATTTATTTATTTATTTATTTATTTATTTATTTTGAGACAGTTTGGCTCTATTACCTAGGCTGGAGTGCAGTGGTGCAATCTCGGCTCACTGCAGCCTCCACCTCCAGTGTTCAAGCGATTCTCATGCCTCAGCCTCCCAAGTAGCTGGGATTATAGGTGTGTACCACCATGTCCTGCTAATTTTTGTATTTTTAGTAGAGATGGGGTTTCACCATGCTAACCAGGCTGGTCTCAAACTCCTGACCTCAAGTGATCCGCCCACCTCGGCCTCCCAAAGTGCTGGGATTACAGGCCTGAGCCACCGCACCCGGCCAGGTCCCAGTACTCTTTATATGGCCCTAGCTTCAGACTTGCTGTCCCCTTGTGGACATGGGAGCTTTGAGAGCTGAGCCAGACCACCAGCCCCCGTGCCAGGTCCTGAGTGCACTTCTGTGAGGGAGGGACATGGGGGGAGCCTCCTGTCACAGCGCCGGGTTCTTTGGGGTTGGTATTGATCAGGAGGAAGCTCCCCGGGGCCATAGAGGAGAAAGACCAACCCTGGTGAGCACTCTGACAGACAGGAGGATGGACGTTGCCGTTGGGAACCAGAACAAAGTGAAGTACATGGCAACCCAGCTGCTGGCCAAATTTGAAGAGAACGCACCCGCACAGTCGGTCGGCACACGGAGACAGGTAAACCCAACCCGTGCCTCGCCCACGCTGATGTGGTCAGGCCACACAAGAAGAGGGGATCTTTTCTGTCCATTGAGTTGGGCTGTGTCACAGACCCTGGGGTTCATGGGCTCGAGACGGGCGTCTGGCTTTCCCTCGCCTGACTGCAGCAGAGAAGAGCCCTTTATCTGCTTGCTTCAGGCTCTGAGGGTCGCTCTGTCCTCAGCATTCCGACCTGGGTTGTCCCCTGACAAGAATCAGCAGAGGGATCTAAAAAAATCTGTATTCATATACCTGTACATCTGTGCACGTTTGCAGATATATTTAAATTTAGAGAAGTACACACTTACTGAGGAACATGCTGAGAAGTACAGTAAAGGTAATGAAGCCACCTGTGATTCTATTAATTAATATCTTCCTGCCCTTCTTTCTGGTCTTTTTTTTCAGTGTATTCTTGTTTTTGTAGATAAGGTCATTCTTAACATATACTTGTCGATTCTCCTTTTTTCATTTCACCTTAGGCATTCCCATGTTGTCCCTGACTCTACAAGCACCTTCTAGAATGTGTGGGCATCAGGCTTCTCTTAGCTGTTGCTCTAGTGTTGGATGTTCAGGTTATTTCTCATCTTTCATGATAAGATACAGAGATAAACGTTCTTATGATAAACCTTCTTTTGTGTGTTGCAGCAGTTTCCCGGGATATTTTCCTAGGACTATGAGCATTGAGTGCTAAGTGGCACTCCCACACACCATGCATGAGAGTGCATGGCAGCAGCTTGTGGCTTGGGGTGTCTTTGTTAGGGTGTGTCTCTCCCCTTGCTTGTCTGAAGGTCACTCTGACTTCTTACAAGAGGTGGGCCTGAGATTTTGGAGATTCACACTGCAAGTGTCTCATAAATCTCCATGATAACTGGAGAGAGCAGCCAGAGGGCAGCGGCCCCTTCTCTGAATTTCCCTTCACTCTCTTCATCTTCTCCATGCCCATCAGCCATTCTTCCTATGGACCAGATGGGTGGGAGCAGCTTTGCTTGGAGTCTGGCCGTAATTAACTACCTGCCACATCTAGTCTTTGCACGCCAGTCTTTTCATGCTGTGGCTCACAGAAAAGGTGATGATATTCACTGATAAACAGTTGAGGTTGTCTGGAGGCTCTGGCAGCCCCAGGTTCCCCTGCCTTGCTTGGGAAGGCTGGAATGCTGCCCGTTAGAGGAAGGTTGCCTCTAAGAGAAGGTTGCTTTCCTCATTTTGGATGGGAATATTAGTTTTCCAAATCAGAATTAGTGGTTTCGACTCAGAGAACATTTAGCTTGGAAAAGAGATGATGCATATTACAGCTTCTGTTTTCCTTTTTCTGTTCTTTTGCATTTGCTTTTGGTTTGGGGGAGGCTGTTTGCTTTGCTTTAGAAGTGTAACTATCTAAGAATGAATCCTCCCTCTTCCCCACGGTTCACAGGTGTGGGGCTGTCCCCTGTGAGTTCTTTCTGTTCTTCTCCCACCTTAATGTACTTTTATTTTGTTTTGTCTCCATGTCCTGTCCCCACCCACACTTGGCCTGTGTGTCCCCAGCTGACACAAGAGCGTGGGGCCAGCCAGCCGTCCAGCTGCCTGCCCGGGCAGGTTCGCCCTGCCCCCACCCCGCAGTGGAAACAGGTAAAGGAACTGCCAGGGCCAGGATGGGTGCTGTCTCTCCAGGCCTTCCCGCCCCTCCTCCTGAGCCAGGGTTCAGGCCTATGCTCTGGAATCCTAGCTCATGAGGGCCGGAAGTCTCCGCTCATTCGTGTAGTAGCTTTGGGAAAACATTGAACAGGCAGGGCTGATTGATTGCACGATTTCTGTAACTCCTGGGGATTTGAGAAAGAGTTAACAGGGAGACTGTTGATTTGGTTTGAAACTCGCTGAAGCGGTGTGGTAGGCGGCTCACCTAGGGGTACCTGAGCTCTTGGGTTTGCTGTTGTCCATTTGTCTCAAGCTGACTTTTTTCCAGCGTGTCTCCTCGTGACCCTGGGAGAGAGAATTCTGAGTATGTTAAGCCTGAGAGTTGGGGCGTGGAGCCTTTTAAATGGGAAAATGTTATCCAGGAAAATAGTCTGGAACTGTGAGTTTGTGTTTGTTTTAAATCCTGGATGAAAGTATTCCTGGATGTTTTATTGGTGTTCTCTCTACATTTAAATGAATGTTTTTGGAAATTTTCACTAAAACCTTGGCAGGATCTCCCGGAAAACTGCGTATCCTAAGTGGTACAGAATAGGGCAGGTGATGGCATGCACTTTCTAAGAAAAAACCCAGCAGAGGAATTGGGAGCCCTGACTGTGGCTCCTCCATGTCACAGATGAGCAAGTCCCTGCTCTCGAGTGGAGCCAGGGTTGGCTGCCTTGTAGTCTGATATCATTTAGGTCTGCTGAGATGCCGAGAGGGCCGTGAGCTGGTCCTGGATGCCATCAGCGCCTTCCGTAGTCGGTCTCCCCAGCCTCCTGTGCTGTAAAGTGATTTTATGGTCAGGAGATGCTGAGGGGTGGTGAGTTGGGTTTTATTTAAGTTACTTACATTCCGGCAAAAACGTTCCTTTCTAACCGTTCTTTTGTAACATAGCACATTAAAGACAGGGCCCAAAAGGCTGAGATGGAATTTTGGGAGCAGTGTCCAAACTCACAACAGAAGACAAATTCACCCTTTCTCTGTGCATGAGGGAAGTCTTCTGAAAAATCTAATTGGAAATTTACTTGCATTTTATTTTCTTAACCTTGGCCTTGTTGTCTCGGTGGAAGATATGATTTGAAAGATGATGTTTAGTTGAGGATCTGTTGAAGGGGAAAGTGAACTCTAAATTGGATTCCAAAACCTCTTACAGTATCCATAACAGGTGCCTGAGGTGGGAGGAGCAGAGGGAGAGGGAGATGAGGAGTAACGCAGGCAAGTGGGGGAACGGGTGGCTGTGGCTGGAATGGTGCTGAGGGGCCACTGGAAGCATGCTCCCTGGAGAATGTTGGTAGTCCCTGCCAGTGCAACTTGTCACCTGAGTCAGTATGGTCGTGGCGGAGTAGGAGACTGGCAGGCTGTATGGGCAGTGGAATAGAACCATGAAAGTCAAACGCAGGTTCTGTGGGATGGGCACCAGATTACAGTTGGAGACAGTAGCTGGGCAGATGTATAAATGAGACTTGATTGGTGAGAAATTGTTAGCGGTGAGAACCCCGTTAGGTTCTTTGGTACCTTAGGGGATATCCAGTAGGGATCTGCGAATTTACCAGGTGGCAGGGAAGTAGCACTGTGAACCAAAACTCACAGTTCTTATGTCCGTGTGAAATGTATAGTATTCACATAGAACTTTCTCAGCTCTAAATCATGAATTTGGGCCTTCTAAATTTATCTCCTGAAAGAGTTGGAGTTGCAGTGTCAGATACTTGCAGAAACCTGGGACAGAGGAACCCCAGTGGTACCCGGGCCCTGCGTCTGATGCCTCCCATGGCTGGCCCTCCACATCTCCCTTCAGGAAGCGGGGCTGACTGGCAGCACCCCATTGTGACTCATAGTGCTTCTCTGGAGGTGGTTCAGAGGCAGGAGGGCATTGCTTGGCAGGGCAGTGATAGCTGAGTTGACAGAAGGGTCACCTTCAGCCTAGGTCATCGTATGGAAGAGGGAAAATAATAGCAGCTCAGCCTGCCAGTGGCTTCCCTTCATTTCCTTCCTTTGTAAACGCTGTGGCTCTTCCCTTCCCCATCCTTTTGCCTTTTGATCTCAGAAACACATCCTGAAGGCAGGCTCTGTGCGATAACCAGCCCTAGTTTGGAAGTAGATTGTCATGGGAGCTCTGAGCGAGTACGGGGCTGTTTCCCCAGGCCTCGTGGCTTCCCTGCTCCCCCGCTCCCTGCATGCTGCCCTGGGCACAGGGAGATGAGAGTTTCCCTGGAGGATATCAGAGAGGCCTGGGAATGTGTGATTGTTTCTCAAATACCAGGGACTTTGGGGCTTTGTAAATTGTAGACAGACTCTCGAAGGGAATATGGTGGAGGGGGCAGAATGAGAGAAAAGCCAGGGATGTGTATATGGCATTTGAATGTTAGTGAGACACCTTTAATTTTGACATAATGCTCCTGCCTTTCTTGCATTTCCTTGTTAGTTTCCTGAAGCCCTTTGATTGCAGGGACTGAGGGGAGGGCAGCAGTGCCAGCCACTGTCACAGCTGTGCCCTGAAGAGGCTGCTGCTTCGCTGTATTGGATGCACATGACCAAGCCCTTGAGAGGGGGTCTCTGTGTCCCCTCTTGGCGGTTGGCCTGTTTGCCCTTTCTCTACTCATCAGCAAGCCTATTTCTTATATCCCCAGCTTCCCTGAGAAAACCGTTGTTCCCTGGCACCTGGAAGGTGCTGCGCTGCTGGTTCTCCCCAGTCCCGCAGATCACCTCTGTGGCTGTGCCCAGCAGAGGGTGCACGTCCCACCTGGGGGCCCACGGGAGACCACTGGCCTGCCCTCTGAGGATGAAGGGGCAAGGAAAGGCCTCCCTGGGGTGCTTCTGACAAACGCCCTTCAGTCCTCCCAGAACCAGCCTCCACGTGGCCACTGTTTGAATAATGTTCTCTCTGTTTGTGTCTGTTGGTGTAAAAGCAACGGGAAAAGGAGTGTTCTCGGACCTGCCCCAAAAAAGTGATCACCCTGTCTCCTCCCCCTACTCCACCTCCCTGTCGGGCGCATGGCAGCCAGCAGGTGATCCTCTCTGCATGCTCCGTGGTCCTGTCTCTGTCTCCCTGCCTGTCTGTGTAGGTGGCTAGTGTAGAGACCAAGTCAGTTTCCCTCTTCTCAGCAGTAACTGTCAAGAAGAAAGGCCATGCGTAGAAACCATTTATGGTGGAAGCAACTTTTATGGCCCTCAGGATGGTGCATCCTACATTCACACCTGACCCTGGTCAGTCCCACCCACACCATGGAAACATGACTGTCCCACCATGAACTAGAAGTTCAGCTGTAACTGATGTTTGTCACGCATCCGAGGCCCAGAAGCCCTAAGAGCAGCCTGTTTTTCTGAAACCCCACTGAAGGCAGCCCTCTTCTCTCGCTGCACAGTGAGGTGGGGTGAGGCCTTCGGGCGCTGCCACAGGGCTTCTCCACGTGAGTTTCGTTCCTTCTGATTCTGGGAGCTCTGCCTCTTGCCCGTTCAGCGTCTTCCAACAAACACTCCTCCCCTTGCACTCGCACACCAGGCAGAACGTTCAGGAGCGGCCCCGGAGCCAGCTGCAGCCGTGGCTGGTGAGAACAGCAGGCAGTGAGGACAGCGGGCATGTGTCTGTGGCATGTTTGTAGGATGGCATTGTTGACCTTCATGGTATGTTTCTATAAAATAAAATGTGAGTTTCAAGAGCAGAATCTATGGAAAGACATTTTCCCACCTAAGGTGGCCTATTTAAAGGGTGACCGTAGTAACGAGACTGATTTTGAAGGCCCCACCTGTGTCCATGGCTCTCAGAACTGAGTCGTTGCAGGTTGAGCAGCTGCTGGGTGCCTTCATCTATACGAGAGCTAGCCGTCCTCAGCACCCGCTGTCACCTGGGAAGCATGCTCAATGCTTCTCAAGCCATGTCTCCATCAGTTCTCACAATAACACTGTGAGGCAGGTGCTATTATTGGCTCCAAAGTTTTACCAGGGAGGAGACTGAAGCATAGGGTGGAGAGGCCGTGTCACGTGTCTGAGTCACATAGTAAGCGCTCAGTGCACAGTGAGGTGGGGTGAGGCCTTCGGGCGCTGCCACAGGGCTTCTCCACATGAGCTTCATTCCTTCTGATTCTAGGAGCTCTGCCTCTTGCCCGTTCAGCATCTTCCAACAAACACTCCTCCCCACTGCACTCGCACACCAGGCAGAGCGTTCAGGAGTGGCCCCGGAGCCAGACTGGAATCTGGCTTGTGGGACCGGGGCCACGCTCTGGCCTCCCCCTGCCCACAGAGACATTATGCTCATGGGTGCTGGATAGGAGCAGCCATGTCAGAGGCCTTGGGACTGTTTTTCCACCGGCTCACGGCTGTAAGGTGAACCCTCAGCCAGCCAAAGAGTGATGCAAGCAGCCTTCCCTGGTCCTGTGAGTGCAGCTCCTGGCTCCTCAGATGAGCAAGGCCATGTCCCTACCTACAGGTCTCTACCCTCTCACATATACCTTCCCGTCCATTCACCAAAAACACATTCACTTCTCCCTTTAGTAGATTATTCTTTGGCCCGATGCTCCTGTTGAGGGACCACTCCCCACTCTGGAGTTTCCTCTGGACTGCTGTCTTAGTCCTTTATTCTAGCCAATTTCCACCTCCCCACCTTTCCTTTCTAAAATGTCTTGTTGTGGAATGTGTCACCCTTTTAACCTGCCTCTCCTTCTAAACCTTCCATTTGATGCCTCTGATCTTACACCACTGTGTGAAAGAAGTATGCTTGTTCCACCTTTGTACTAACCATAGTTCGTTATTGATCTGTGTAGCTGGCCTCACTGGAGGCCGGCGGGGGCAGAATGGCTGTGCAGAAGGTCGGCCTTGTGTCATGGGATTTGATACGGATGGGATTATGGTTACCTGGGAATAGGGTTAGTAGGGGAAGAGGATATGTGTTGAACTCTGAATTTCTGCCCCTGAATTTCCCACTGTTGCTTAGTAGATCCAAACAGAGCATTATGCATGGAGCTTAAGTTTCTACTTTATTGCCAACAGACATACAGGGATCTTGATGCTGACAACCGTGGCAAGCAGAGCCCCCACCATGAGAGGGTAAAAGAGCATGAACCCGTGGCATGGGATGCTGAGAGCCAAACAGACGGGGCACGCTGTGGTGGTGGGGCAGCGGGAAGGGATGTGGGAGATGGTCCCCTCCCCTTGCTTTTTGCACACTCTTGTCACCCAGCCAAGAGCCAGAATTCTTTTTGCTAGCAGTGTTGAGCAGTGCAAATAGCATTCGCTGTAAAGCAGGCACCCATCTGGCATTCAGATGGGATGCTGACCCTAAGTGTGTGTGTTCTGGTAAAGGGCCTTAGTGACTTCCCGTTTCTGCCCACTGTTCCCCTTCCAAGACCATGCTATTTCTACCCCCGAAATATGTGCCAGTGGTAGAGTAGTAGCATTGGACCGTCAGATGTGACTTCTTAGGGAAAGGGTCTAGATCAGTATTCAAGTGGCATTCAACAGTCAACGGATCTTGAAGTGGAAATCCTGAGAGCCAAAGCTCTTACCAGCGTGAGGATTTTTCCAGTAGGGTGAGAATGAGGGGGAGAAAGGTAGGTGATGGCAAAATGGGGCTGTACCCGTGGAAAGCTTTAGTCTTTTCTGAAAACTAAGGGGGAAGTTACTGATTGCAGCTGGCCATCGTATAATGTGAGGGATAGCCGAGATGCCCAGTTAAAGAAGCTGGCTTACTTTAGGAAACTTTTGTTCTTGTTGTTCGTACCCGTAAAGATCTCCGAGTGGCTGTAGCTCTGCAGCTACTGGGAAGAGTCATCTCTAGTTGTTAATCTCACAAAAGCCATTTTGAGAAATGCAGTTATGGCCAAGCAGTAAATTAGGTTACCCCTCGGACCCGATAAGAGCTAATCATAGTGCCATCTTCCTGCACCCTCTCACCGGGCTAGCAGCGGGCAGTGTGTGTGCTGCCTGAACCTGGTGCTGGGTCGGGGAGAGGAGACTGGGCTGGAGGTGACGTCTTTCCCATCCCCTTTCCATGACCTCGCCCCACTGTGCTCACCCTTTTTGGGGCTGCCCCCCCGCCGGCACTGTGTGCCCAGCCTCTTTCTCCCTTCTTCCCAGGCTGTGTCCCCTCAAAAAGGAAAACAGCCCTTTTCATTGAGCAGGGCAGTGCCCTCCATTTTGGGGATCACATATTTAATGAGAGACTGATAATGTTTAATGAAACAGTGCCTAAAAGAAGGGAGGGGAAGGCCGGGCGCGGTGGCTCACGCCTGTAATCCCAGCACTTTGGGAGGCCGAGGTTGGCGGATCACGAAGTCAGGAGATCAAGACCATCCTGGCTAACATGGTGAAACCCCGTCTCTACTAAAAATACAAAAAATTAGCCAGGCGTGGTGGCGGGCGCCTGTAGTCCCAGCTATTCGGGAGGCTGAGGCAGAAGAATGGCGTCAACCCAGGAGGCGGAGCTTGCAGTGAGCCGAGATCGCGCCACTGTACTCCAGCCTGGGCGACAGAGCGAGACTCCGTCTCAAAAAAAAAAAAAGAAGAGAGGGAAGCATGTTGAATAGGAGAGATTGACAGTGAGAAACAATTTGAAGTTTAGGGCTGCTGTGCAGAGAGGGGAAGAGGTAGGGTTTTGAGCTCAGGAGGCAATAGTTTGCAGAGATGATTCTCTCTTTTTCCCTCTGAGCTGGTTTCTGCACTCCTCGGTGCAGGGCTCCAGACTGGATACTTTTGAGGACTTAAGTTCTTTTCTTGGACTTTGCCGCCGTCCTCCATAACCCTGCATGTGTACTCACCTGCTCTCTGCCCACCTCTACCCAGCCCCCTACTCCTCCCCTTGGCTGTGACCGCTCTGCCCCCCAGGAGGCTACTGAGTCTTCCTCTGGCTTCCTTCTGGTGGGTGGTGCTTACAGCCGTCCTCCCCAGCTCCCTCTGGGGCCTGTGTTGCTGAGCCCAGGACCAGGGAGCTGGCGAAGTGTCTGAAGCAGAGGCTGTTGAAGTACCAGGTAACTGCCGCTCCATGTTGCCACTCCACGGAGCTATGAAGTACACGTGACTGAGGTAGAGAGTGTGACCGATCTGGCTTGGAGCTGGAGGAGCAGAGGGCTTCCTCGTACCATGAGTTAATGCTGTCCTTCCCACCTGTAAATAGTTCATTCTGAACCTGGTGGGAAACTCAGCAGTTACTGGTTGCCAAAGCTTTCAGTCACTACCTCACTCTCTGGGGACTGGGTTCCTAGCTGCATGGGCCCACGGCTAAGGAAGACCCTTGCTCAGTTTTGTTACATGTGCTATGTGCAATCTGTAGAGGACTTGGGCTCAAGCCTTTTCTCCTCATCTTTGCTTGGGATTCAGCTGCCTCCTTGGCAAGGAGAGCCTCTCTGAGCACTAGTGGAAGGAAGAGATGCTGCATTTCTGGCCCTTCTGTAGAAGGAGCAAGCTTCACTCTAGATTTGCTGTCTCCACTGCCTGCTACTTCTAAGGCCAATGGAGTGATGGGGTGGTGGGAGAATCTTTTTGCCCAGGAGAAATCCCAGCTCAGGCCGGGAGTTGCTCTCTGCAGAGCACAGAGCATGTGAGTCAACAAGACCCCCGCTCCCTACCCCGCTTACCCACACAGAGGGAGGGCGAGGCTGTGCTGGGTGGCCCACAGCTGCGGGACTGCGTTCCAGGGCGTGCTCTGCTGCAAGCATGAGGGAAGGACAGATAAAAGCAAAACGGAAGCCTTGCATGGGCCACTTATGCTTCTGGGAGCTACTTTTTTTTTAGTACACATGGCATTTAGATAAAGGTCTAGAGTAAAAGGCTGTACAACTGCCAATCATCTTATGTTCAGAGGTCAGTGTGTGACTTAACATTTCCTTTAATTTTGTTTTTCTCCATCTTGTATTTTATAGCCAGAGCCCGAACCTCCTCGTCGATTTTTTGTCGACCAGTGGGAGCTTTCTCTTAGTCTCCGCTCCTCTGCCCGCCCCGCCTCTCCCTCCTCCGACTCCCTCCGACAGGTAGCATGGCCTAGGACTCACTAAAACTCTGCCCTCTGCAGCCTCCACTCACTTCACTTTTGCGAGTGTCATGTGCCCCAGGAGGTTGCAGGGCTCCTCACTTGGGCCTGTCTCCTGTAGGGAGCCGGCTGCATGTGTCGCTGTCTGCGTATGTCGGTCTGGTGTGTGAGGGCTGTGGCACACTCCTCAGCTAAAGTGGCTGCTGGCTTTCGTCCAACTGTATTTGACACTTCCAGGTCTGTTGATGTGAACCGGCTTTGATGCTGTTTCAACTATATCAAATAATAATAAACGTTTTTCGGCCACTGGCTTTTTTAACTTCACATGTCTTCCAAAATAGTGTGTGTTACAAAGTAGGAACCGCAGTGTAACTAAATCACCTCAGTGGAGGGGTAACCGTGCAATGTTCTGGCTGCCTGTTGTCATCATTTGAGGAATGAACGCGGCTGTCACCTGAAGTAGCGCTGGTCCAGTTGTGGGGAGTTTCTAGAGAGATTGGAAGATCTCTTTGCCACTCCTGTTGGTATTTCCCATCCTGGGTTGACGCCGGACCTCCCGGCATATGTGCATGGTAGCATATGCACACATGTGGTGTGCAGCCGGATCGATCCTGCAATTGCTACATTTCTGCTACTTTTTAAGAGGGATGAGAAGGAAACCATCACTTTTCATGCCAGAAACAAGTAGAACTTGAGCCTTCACCTCTCTTGTAGGGATGCTCGTCAGTGTTGCCGACTTGCTGAGAACTGAATGTGGCAGATGCCTTTGCGTGGGCAGCCCCAGACTGTCACTGCTGAGGTTGATGGTTTAGTTCAGGAGAGAAAGGTCCTGGCTGAGCAGTGAGGGCCCAGGGCTGGCTTGGTGTCCTGGCCTCATACTTGGCATCTGGCCCACACTCCCCTCCCCTGTGTCTGCTGCAGAATGAGAGAAATGCCATTTTCTGCTCCCTCAGTGTCAGCTATTAAGTTATCTGCTCAGCTCTGCCTGGTGTCTGTCGGTCCCAAGCCTAAGCTTCCTTAGTGTGCCTAAAGAAGGTTGAGATCTAAGAGCCACGTGTTTGTCTTGACCACTAATAGGTATAATCTGTGAAGTTAATGGGCAAATGGCACCAATCCTTGGGAATCTTATTTTTGAATTAAAAACTATAATTGCTTCTTCAGCTCAGCTGAGCCTTGAGCTGAACCACAAGAACGGCTTCCTCATGTGTGCATCTGTGAGTCCCCCGAGCCTGCTTCCCCCTGCCCGGTGCTTCTGTGATTCTTCCTCACACGAGGCCTTATGCGTCTGTCCGTTCAGGCCATGCCCTAAGGGGGCTGTTGGCATCCCCAGGATAATGGCTCGTGGTGAGTTTCTGAGTCAGAATTAGGGTCTGACCCCCGGGGGCAGGGAGCCCCCTTCCTCCATGAAGTTCATGGGAGGAGTGCCACCCACGTGGTGGCGTGGCCATCTCCACATGGAAGGGTGACCTGGGTGTGGGAGTCTCTAGAGGACTTCCTCTCAGGACAGGTCACGGCAGGGCTGCCTGGGCACCCAGCTTAGCTGTGAGCAGGGCGGCTCACAATGGAGACCTGGAAGTTTCTCTTGCGGTTTCTTCAGTGTTGCCAGAAAGAGGCTTGAGTTGGTTGGGTTTTTTTCTCTTACCTTTCTTCAGCCTCTAAAGTAATCCCTCCTGGCCTAGAACACATTCCCACCTCCCTGGGCTGATGGAGCAGCTTGGCTGCACGGCCACACCTCGTGGCCAACATGCCCAGCCCAGTCTAGAAGGCTTTGGCCTCAGCACCTGGATGGGCCACACGGGCCTCATCATGCTGCCCTCAGACCCCCAATACCATCAGCAGGGAGAATGGGCTGAGAAGGCTTCTTCCAAAACAGCCTGGGAGCGTTGGCTGCCTGTGGCAGGCATTGTAGGGTCAAGCATCAGGAAGCAGGAAGAGATGGCGACGTCTGCTACCCACACGGAGGCGGCCTGTGCAGGAGCGAGCATGGCTCCTTCTGAGTGAGGAGATGGCCTCCTGGACCGTGAAAGGCGGCGTCAGCCTGGGCACCGCTGCGTGCATGGGGGTGCCCCTCGAGTTCTGTGAACGCAGCCCAGCTGCGCAGGACCCAGGCCCTGCCTGCCCGTCTCTGTGCGCGTTCGCCCTGCCTTCTACCACTATTGCCTGGAATTGTGCAGTCCACAGAGATGGGAGAGACCCAGTTCTTCCCGAGGAAGACGCTTTCCCTGCAGCGGTCCTGTCTGTGCTGGTACCCCTGTGTGGACACTGACACGATGTTTTTCTTACCACCCGGTTTCCCTGCCTGTGAGCACTGTGTTGGCATGGTTTGCTGCTGCACCTTGTATTCAAATTGCACTTCCCAGAGATTTCTTTTTTTCCCATGTCTTCTTAATATATGTATTTTTTTCCTTCTCATTTCCCTTCATTCTGGTCATTTTGTAACCTTCAACCAATAGAAGTATATAAAGATGTACACGGGCGGAGTGAGCTCATTGGCTGAGCAGATAGCCAATCAGCTTCAGAGGAAAGAACCACCCAAAGCCCTTCTAGACAAGAAGGAACTGGTAAGAGACGTCTCCAGGCACTGTCTAGCTAGACGCAGCACAGCCGTGGGAAACACACCTGTGTGCTTGAGTCGCTTGTAACTTCTGTAGCCCGTGTATGCCATGCAGTAATCGCTTTTGAGGTTGTCTGGATTTTGATAACCAGATTTCTAAGACTGCAGTAGTTGTTGTGTGAGTCCAGGGACCCACATATATTCACATGAAGTACGTCAGCACTGAATAGATACAGATACAGCTACCCTCAGAACAGGACTCTGCCAGCGTTTCCATTTGAGCTGGGGACCCTCGGGCCCCTTCTTGCCTTCTTCCACGTGCGTCTTTTCCATCGTGCCCCTCCCAACCCTTCTCGCCCCTCTCCCTCCATTGCTGTTTCTCTAAGACTCTTTCTTATCAGTATTTCCCAGCGTCGCCAGGCTGTATCATAGCATTACTCAAGTCTGGTGTGAGGCACTGTGATGCTGGCTCCCTCGTCCGCGGCAGCCTGACCTGGGCTTTCGCGGTTGTGCCCAGTGTTCCTTGTCAGCGCGTGGAGGCAGTGACCGTGGTGGTGCCGTCACTCTGTGGCAGAGCCAAGAGCACGGTTGACCATAGCCAGTCAGTAGTCTGTCTCAAAGCAGACCACTTAGCGAGGGTTGGCTTTGTCTCGCCAGGCTGTGCCTCTAGGAGGGCCCGTGCGGCACTCCCTGAGGTGCTCCCCTTCCTCCCGACCGCCACCTGCAGGGCTCCATGAAGAAGGAGTTCCCGCAGAACCTGGGAGGCAGCGACACGTGCTACTTCTGCCAGAAGCGGGTCTACGTGATGGAGAGGCTGAGCGCCGAGGGCAAGTTCTTCCACCGGAGCTGCTTCAAGTGCGAGTACTGCGCCACCACCCTGCGCCTGTCGGCCTACGCCTACGACATCGAGGATGGTGAGACACCCCACGCCTCAGGTCCCACGGAGAAACTGGGCTTGGACAGTGTTTCCATCTGAGCTGGGCGCCTTCGGGCCCCTTCTGCCTTCTTCCATGTGCGTCTTTTCCATCGTGCCTCTCCCAACCTTTCTCGCCACTTTCCCTCCACCGCTGTTTCTCTAAGACTCTTACTATCAGTATTTCCCAGCGTCACCAGGCTGATGAGAATGGCATGCGTTTACCCAAGTCATTTCCCTGACTTCAGGGACACTTACTTGTGTTCTGACCTCAGGCTGTGAACTTGAGATAAAAGGAACACAAGATGAGGTTTTCGTCTTGTCTTTACAGAAGGGGACTTGCACATCCATAGAAGTCACATATTTTGCCTCAGGTTGATGATGACAGCAAGTTGGAACTGGGTCCCAGGCCCCTGGGTTCTCAGACATTTGCTCTTGGAGATGCCTGCAAGGTGGCCCGTGTTAACGCCTCTCTGGCATCCGTCTGATCTCTCTTTGGTGGGTTGTGAACCATTGCACAGGGCCTGAATCTGATTTACTGTGGTGTTCAAGGCCTGGTCTTTGGCAACATGTGCCAGTTTTTACAATGAAAAGACCTTGAGGTAAACAGTAGAGAATTCTGTACACAGATGATAGAGCCGTCATGATGGGCAGAGGCAGGCTGGCCGCCATCTGAGGACCCTGCATTGATGACCCCCATCCCCATTCCTATAGGATGCTGCAGGGACTTCGTGGAAGGCAGTCTTATAGATTCCAGAGTAATGAGGGGCCTAGATTAATAGGAGAGGCAGTAATCTTTATAAGGTGGCATAAAGACCCTGACATTGATAGAAGATTGCGTGGCTGTGAGATCATACAGTGATGTCATCTAGGAGAGGGATGCCATGCAATTAGGACCTAGTCACTTCAGCTGTCCCGAGGATGAACAGACGGGCACCTCTGTCAGAAGGAGCAAGGAAGGAGCCCAGAGAGGTGAGCCGAGACAGACTGACTCCTGCATGGTGCCTGGCCCTTCTACTGTGTTGGTAAAAAGCACTCCGAGTCGGGGAAGAGTGGAAGAATTAGGATGCTGTTTAGATAAGGCAGGCAGATGGTTTGCTGTCAAGTCTTCTGTTCCACCTCTCCCACACACCTGCTCTCTGGATAGCGCGTTTGATCTCAAGGATGGGGCCTGGCAGAGGGAGCCACCCAACCTCGCTCAGCTGTCCCTGATGCTCAGGGTGTTCTAGTTAGCCTCTCACCGTGGAGTCTGCCCGGAAAAAAGATGCTGCAAGGCACAGCTGATTGATCTGCGGGTACTTTTGCCCATGGGTGTGTGTGCATCTTTGCTGCCTTCTGTGAAAGATGCGGAAGTGTAATGTGTGCCTCCAGGAGCTCACGGTCCTGTGGGGATGGGGCCCATGAGGAGTAGCAGGCGACACGAGTGCGTGCAGCGAACGGCTCGGTGCACAGCCTAGGTTGTGGCTTTGTAGACGCGCGGGGAGGAGGAAATCTGTGAAGTTCAAGAGTGGCTTGGAATGACCTCGCTGACCCTTGGCTAGACTTCGAGAGAAAAGGGTATGGTGGCGGAGTAGAGGGCAGATGTGCGCACCTGGCAGGACCTCGGGTGGCAGCGAGAGGCCGGGACAGGATGAGGCCAGCCTGATTGAGTGCAGTATTCTTAACACTGGAGCAGAGAAGACAGCCGTTCTAAACCAGCTCCCCAAATTTTAACCCAGCTAAAATTTTCATCAGCTTAGCCCCTCCACAGACCTCCCCCTCATCTGTCAGAGGACAGATGGACTACAGCCAGTAAGGAACTTTAGGGGCACTGAAGTTTTAGCCTGTTTTTTATCCAAGTTGCCGAGTGTCTCAGAAGTCTAACTGAAGAGGCTCAGAGAACAAAGAATAAGCTGAGGAGGTTGTGGCATGAGGAAGTAACCGAGGCCTTGTGCTGGGCCCCAACTCATCACGCCCTTTGTCCTCACAACAACCCCATTAGGTAACTCTTTTTATTATTGTAATCAGAAGTCAGGAAGCTGAGTTCAGAGAACTTACATGTTGTTTGTCCAAGTTGACACAACTAGTAATAGCTCGCTTGCACCAAATGACACCTAAGATTCATTCCAGGGCAGAGATTCAGGGATTGTGACTCCAGGCCCGCTGCCAACTCCATACTAGTAAATTAAGAATCATATTTGAAGATGTCCCCGTGTTTTACTTGTGGTGGTATTTGTTCTGTCTTCAGCTCTTTCTCGAGGATGCCGTCTGCTCAAACACAGAGCTGCGCTTTTTTTTGCAAAGCACTAGCTCATTTGTGATCGCTGCCAGCTCTTAAGACAAGGACTCTAAATTAGTGTCAGGCCTTCCTTGTCATCTTGAGAAGAGACACACACCACTTCCACAGGTGGTGTGTGCAGGGTGGCCCTCATCAGTGACGAGCCTGAGACTGTCTCCATGCCTGCCTCTGTTACACCCCAGTCTGTTTCCACAGAGCAACTGGAGGGATTTTAAAAGGTGTGACTTGGATCTCACCAATGTCCTAGCCACTGCCGTGCAGACAGAGCCCACAACTTTGTCCCAGGTGGAGAGAGCATTGCGTGTCCGCCCCAGCCTCTGCCGTCAGCTGCCCCCAGTGTGCTGCTCTCTTTGCTGCAGTGTCTTTCCATCCCATAAGCATAATGAAGCCACTGCTCGTTAGGACGTGGCTCTGCTGTGTCCTCTCCTGGAGTACACCCCCTGGTCTCCACAGAGTGAGCTGCACGTGGCCCACATCTCCATGTGGCGCTCCTCAGAGAGGGGTCTGGCTCTTTTGAAAGAGGGCAGCTGCCCAGGCACCGGTGCGCCCGTGTGGTTCTCCACGCAGGGCTCGCACTGTGTCATCTTACCCGTGCATCTCGGGAGAACAAGTCTGCCTGCCTGGGGCTCTCGGTGTTCAGATCGGTGGCTGTCATACAGTGGCACTCAGGCCTGGGTGAGTGAATGAATGGACGGCCCACTTGACCTTGGATTTGCCCTGTGGCCATCTGTTTTCTCCATTTCCCTTTTCCAGTCACTCCCGTATTCAGTTATCAGGATCCTTAATTTGGACCATTGAGAATCAAGTCACTTGACTGAATCACCCACAATTCGTAGCTAATTTTTAAAAACATAGCAAGGCTGGATTTACCACTGAGGCAGGCATGGTAGTGTCATGGTAGTGCAGGCTCTGGCACCAGCATCCTGGACCACATCCGCCTCTGCGGTTCACTGACTGGGGGACACGCTGGGCAGGTCGCTCGGCCTTCTGTGCCTCACTGAGGAAGAGGTGAATACTAATGGCACCTGCGTCACCGGCTTGTTTGAGGATTAAATGAGTTGATAGATGGAAAGCAGTTAAAGTAGTGTCTGGCACTTGGCAAATGTTAACATTAAAATTAGCTTCTTTTTTTTTTTAAATAAGCAAAAAGTGCCATCGTCTTGAGTTTGGGAAGGGATATGGGGAGATGCGCATGATTTGTGCCACCTCATTTAATATCTCCACCTATGAAGTGGGTACTGTGTTCATCTCCATGGGAGGAGACATGTTCCAAAAGACAGATGAGTTCACACGGCTGCTGAGCAGTTGAGACGGTGTTGGAACTGAGATCACGCTTAGCGCTCACGTTCCTCGCATCGTCTGTACTGCCTTCCTAGAGAACACAGGTTGCTGGAACTTTCTGATTAGCCTTGGAGGTCTTGTTTCTGAAATGTAAACCTCCTTTCTTTATTAGTTGAGGATACCAGAGCAGGGTTCAAGGAGGATTCGGTTGAGTTCAATTGAGTTAGAGTTTAAGATCTGGGATTCCACTTTTGCAAAAACAAGCAAATTGATGTAGGAAAAAAATAGAAGGAAGAAATGAAAGCCATGATAGCATTTTAGTTTTCTGATACTGTAAGAAGCAATGCTCTTGGTTACAAGTAATAGAAACCCAGTACAGATTACAGTTGCAGCCTTAGCTTTACAGCTTCCGGCCAGATAGCAGTCCTCAGGGAAGGGCTGCCCCTTCCCTCACCTCCCTCAGCATCCCCATAACGTCTCCAGCGAGCCTGCCTTTAGCCACATGCCAGTCCCCAGAGCACCCTGTCCTGGGTGGGGTGGAGGGAGTGAGTCGCTGAGTGGCCTGGGTCATGTGTGACTGGTGGTGGAAGCTCAGGCCACGTGGTTGCCAACCCCTGTCAGAGTCTCATGGAGGAGGGAAGGGTATTTCTTAAAGAATGAGATACAAAACAGACCAAAACAAGTAGCACATGATCCAAGCACTCGTACATCTTATCTTATCCTAATTATTGGTAGCCAACATGTACAAAAGCTGAGTGGCTTATTCAGATGGAAAAGGAAGTTGTGGCCAAGCTCCAGGTGACAACCCATGGCTCCACCCCCCTGGTGGAGAAACAGGCGGTAAGATTGGCGGGCGTTTGGCCGTCAGGGTCAGGTGTCACCACTGTAGAGTCTCTGCATCCTGACCAAGTGCCAGTAGCCAGTGAATCGTTCTGAGAAAGTATACTAGGCATTACGAAAAGTATTTAAAATCTGTGTCTTCCTAATAGATTTATTCAGCATTGGATAGGGAGTGCAGGTAAAACAAGTCAATTTCTCTGAAGAAAAAGAAGAAAGAATCAGATCATCAGGGAAAAGGAAAGGGAAGAATGCCATCTTACCCTTATTTTCTTTGACATTTAGGTCCTCTTGTAGCTTTGAGATCAGGGAAGCTCATTTGTCTAAGAAGCAGTCTCTACACATGAGGAAAATGAAATGAGATTACTTCTGTTTCAGCAGTTTTTATAGTAGGGTTTATCACTTGAGATTCAAAAGTCTTCGCTCTTTAAGTGAGAGTAAAAAAATGACTCTGTGGGTTAGTTCCATTACCAAAGTCATGGGGAAATTCAAGTCCAGTGTTGTTCAGATTTTTCTGACCACACTCCCCATGGGGATACACATTACATTGAGACCCAGACACAGCTGCAAGTTCCAAGAAGTAATGTTTTATTCTCATCGCGCCACAGTACACTCTAGTTTCGTTTCGTTTCGTTTCTGTTCTATTCTGTTCTGTTCTATTCTATTCTATTCTATTCTATTCTATTCGATTCGATTCTGTTCTGTTCTGTTCTGTTCCATCCTACTTATAGTCCATTGCAGTATTTTTTGTTTTCTAATGTCCTTTCCTGCTGATCCTGACCCTCTGAGGGGACTGGGAGGGGGTGAGGGATAGGGTGCAGGAGGGGGAGCAGCAGAGATGGGCCTGTCAGAGCCGATGCCTAGCGATGCCACACCCCTGCAGCCTCCACGCCTCCACCCCTGCAGCCTGCACCCCGCACTTGTATTCATTCTTGCTTTCCCCAGCAATGCTACTCCCAGCGTTTCATGTGACCACATCTTTGTTCCTCACACACTGCCACTTTGTTTGCTGGCCCTGCCACACAGGCCTCACATCTTCGCTCTGGGCACTGATTGGGTGATGGCTCAATGGCCTTCACATTCCCAAAGGAAAAGACCCCGTTCAGGCCAGGGGAGAGGAAGGCTAGAATCAAAGTTTACTGGGAGAAACTGGCTTCCCAGTAAACCAGAAAGCTAGGCCCGGGGAAGACTGGGTGGCTTGATGGCCTCCTGAGGCTGGAGGAGATGGAAAGGAGTGGCTGAGACCAGGGAGGCACGTTCAGGATCGGTGCCTGGCTCATCGCCTCTGTCCCTGCCTCTTGCTGTCCACAGGTAAATTCTACTGTAAGCCACACTACTGCTATCGACTCTCTGGCTACGCACAAAGGAAGAGACCAGCGGTGGCTCCCCTGTCTGGAAAGGTAATGGTGACCGTCCTGTAAGTGGGGGAGAAGCAGTGGGTGTTGCAGCAGTGTGGCTATGGGCCAGGGGCGGCCAACGTGCAAAGACCCCTGCGGCCTTGCCTCTCCTGGATGTGGGGAGGGCCCGAGACGCAGTGGCACCCCAGGTGGGGAGGGAACCAGCTTTTCATGGATGATCTGAGGTTGCCTCGCTAAGGTGAAGGCTCCACCTGCCGCCTGAGTGGGACCCAGGAGATGATGCAGCTCTCCATCTCAGCTGCGTAGACATCTGCCTTTGTCAACACACATCTTTCTGAGAGGACACCCTGCCACTGGGGTGATGCCCACTCATGTTCCACATGATTAAAGCCTCCCCCAGAAGGGCAGAGTGGGAGAGAGACTCTGTCCGGAGGATCCCTCTGCTCCTCGGTGACCCCACCCTCACTCCCCACAGCCAGAGGGCGCCATGCCTACGGGGCCTTTCACTCATTCTGTGAGTTATTTGAGAACTTTTTCCTTTCTTATGCTCTCTTTAATGAGGGTGGCTTCTCCACCTCTCTCTGCCAAGGTGAACCCAGCAGTCTCTTCAGCATGGCTGCCACCTTGTCAGCACGCCTGCCTGTCAGTCCCCCTTGAGGGCTTCTGTTGCCCGCAGAGGGACTTGCAGGAAGAGGTGCACCTGGGTGGAACTAGACGTTGATTCCCGGTGACTCAGGAGGCTGAGGTGGGAGGATTGCCTGAGTCCAGGAGGTTGGGGCTGCAGTGAGCTATGATGACGCCACTGCACTCCAGCCTGGGCGATAGCAAGGCCTTGTCTCTTAAAAATAAATAAACAAAATTTAAAACCAGCCTGTCAGATTGTCAGTGCCTCTGGGGCTTTGAGGATTTGAGTGCATCAGTCAGAGCCACTCTTGTTTTTCTCATGAACTTTCCTAGGAGGCCAAAGGACCCCTGCAGGATGGCCCCACCACAGACGCAAACGGACGGGCCAACGCCGTGGCCGGCTCGACTGAGAGAACCCCAGGTAGCCTCACTTCCTTGTTTGGCTGGGTGGCGCGTCACTCCCTCGGCCTCTGTGACAAGGCCAAGGGCATGAGCCAGCACCTCCAAAGCAACATTTCTTCATTCGGGCATCAAGTGGCCCAAAACCCTCTGGACTCCTTTTTCATGTGCCAGCTGCTTGCGTTCGGAGTCCCCTTTCTCTATGGCCTGTCGGAGGTGCTGGTGCAAATCAGAGGGGAGTTCCACTGGCAGGCTGTGGCCCAGTGAGGGGGCCATCCGGTGGGCGGCAGAGCCGTGAAGTGCGATCCCTCAGCCCCGTCCCGCAGCATCACACATGAGGGCAGCCCTGGTCCTGTGTGGGTAGACAGGAGCTTGCAGGCACTCAGACACTGCTCCCATTACCACTCCTGATGAGGCCAAGGCCACTCGGCCCCTCATGCAGTTTGCTTCCAAGCTCCTCTGACGGCCTGGAGCTGCGTTGATTAAGCCCCGTGGTCTGGCTTTGCATTCACCTTCACTTAAGATTCTGCGTCCTGTTCCGTGTCACTGTGTCTGGATGAGCTGTGGCTGCTCTCCTGTCTGCCCTGCACCGTGATGGGGCATGCCCTGTCCTGACCCCGTGGCCACTGGGCTTCTCATGAGGTCCCAGCCCTCACCTGTCCCACTTTCATGACCACTTCCTTGTGTTGGGAGGTGAACAAAACCATCTCTACCTCTAAAAACACATTTATTCTTGTCATAGCATGGCAGGACTTGCCGGGTTTGTGGGTACAAGGCCTGTTGGGAAGAATTATGTAGGTTTTTTCCTTAAAATGGCCTCTCTCGGCTCCATGTAAAACTTGCCTGTGAGATGCGTCCACAGCTCCACAAACTGCTGGGTGTTCTGAGTGTCCCACATGCAGCTCCAGGTGGTTCACAGCCCAGGGTCACTGGGGTAAGAGGGGGCCAGCAGGGCTGTGTTTCTGTCTGTCACACTTTCCTCTTGTTCAAAACACATGTATCTCAAGCAGCTATGTACAAAACTCGTAAAAATTGAAGATGGTCAGCCAATGCCAGGAACCATGGAGGAGTTGGTCATAGAATTCCTGTGGTGGGACAAGAAAATTACCCATTTGGCCCTCACTGAGAGGTTCCAGAGATGCTTCCTTTCCCTTCCCTAAGAGCTGGTTCATGTAGGCCTTGTGGTGCTCATTCTGGGAGAGGGAAAAGTGCCCAGAGGCCAGGCGGCACACCCTGGGAGCAGTGAACTGGAGGCCGAGACCCAGCAAACCCCAGCCAAGCCGGGTGAACTCAGCTTCTGCTACTGAACGTGCCCTTGTTATAATCTGAGCAAATTGTTTAAGTGCCCTGCAGGTGGGACCAACATTTTAGAGCCATGTTTCAACCATTAATGACATTTAAACCTTCTGCAGTCTTGAAGATCTTTATAATCTGTCTTAAGTACCAACAGGCCTTTGCAGCTGACACTCTCAGAGCATGGGCAGAATCACTGGTAGAGGAAAATAACCAAAGGGGTCTAGACAGAGACTTCGGCTTATGCTATAGAATGTACATTCGTTTGGGGAGGGCGCCACCTTGTTAGTCTGGGCCCTGTTTCAGCAGAGATGGATTTTCTGAGGAACCCGACTACTCAGTAGAACAACTCAAAAGAGATTAAACTTTCCATTTGGGTTTGGAGTACAGAACATTCTTTAAAAAGAATGAAACACAACGAAGTTTAGGTTATTCCTGAATGAAGCCAGGTTTGCTGACTTTCCCATCTGGTTCAGGCTGCCATTCTTGCCGTCTAATTGAAAGTATAATGGGTTTCAGGTTTTTGGGAGTTCTAAAGAATTAAGGGTTCCATAGAGAAGAAGAATGTTCTACGTAGTGGGGAGAGAGGGTGAGAGCTGGCAGTGTGGTTAAAGAACAAAACCTCCAAGAAAGAGTCAGAGCCCTGAGGACGTCTCGGTCCACGTGGCTCTCGATCCTGAGCCAGAAGGTGACTTGGTATAGCACGGGAGTTCACAATGTGGTGTCCCGAAGGAATCACAGTGTGGACCCATACAGTTAATGACAGGCACTGTCCCCCAGCTTAGGCGGCAAAGGTCAGTGAAGCTCAGGGGTGAGGGGCTCACCCTCCAGCAGCTCAGAGTCTGGAGCACCTTCCCGGTAGGCTCCCTCTGCTGCTACCCTCGGTCGGAAAGGAACAGGATTATGGGCGGTATTTTATGGCTGGCGTGAAATAGATACCTTTTTCTCCTTTGATAGAGATTTCCTTTTTTAAATATGAAACTGAAGCTTTGATGACTTAACTAGACTTCCTTTTGAAAAATTTCAGAAAAGCTCAGGTGTGGCTGGGCGCGGTGGCTCACGTCTGTAATCCCAGCACTTTGGGAGGCCGAGGCGGGTGGATCACGAGGTCAGGAGATTGAGACCATCCTGGCCAACATGGTGAAACCCCGTCTCTACTAAAAATACAAAAAATCAGCTGGCGTGATGACATGCACCTGTAGTCCCAGCCTTTCAGGAGGCTGAGGCAGGAGAATCTCTTGAACCAGGGAGGCAGAGGTTGCAGTGAGCCAGGATCGCACCATTGCACTCCAGCCTGACAATAGAGCTAGACTCCATCTAAAAAAAGAAAAAAGAAAAGGGAAAGCTGGGGTATTTCAGGGCCCCAGAATGTATGTGGTAGAGACTAGTCATTAGCGCAGACCCATGGTAGCCGCCTCCGCTGTGTGCTCGACCGGAAGAGGCCATGATGAAGGCCTCAATTCTCTTGTGTGTAACTCAACCATTCCTAGACCTACGTCCCCAGGAGGCAGGGCTGGTAAAGCTTTGACTGGGCAGTGTTTGACCCAGCTGTGCTTTTACTCTGTGCCTCCCCTTTATATTGTGGCATTTCTTCTCCTTTATGTTCTTTTTCTTTCTATGCCAAAATTCTTGCTATTGCCAAAACAAAAACAAAACAACACACCCGTACCCAATTAAACCCACAGTTCAAAGAACCCACACTAGGTCGGCTTTAAAGTGTTGTCTTTCTCTGGTAACCAAATCTGTACCTGCTGCCTAATTTAGTGTTTGGGGGCATTGTTTACAGTATTTTTGTTTGTAATGTGCTTTTAATATAGAAATTCTCTTTTTTGTTCTTAAATCTATAAATGCTCTGTTTCCAAGCTTATACTTACTACTGCATATTAGTGGTCCTGGCACAGATTTTCTTACCCTGGCCTCGTACTATCCACCATGACTTTAGAAAAAGTTTGAACAACAATAGGCAGAGAAAGGAAATCCCCAAATGGGATTATTTCCCCCTGGGACATAAGAAGTTTAGTTGCAGGTTTCTTGAATTCATTTTTGTCCAGAGGAATCTTTTTTTTATCTGATATGGTCGATAACCAAAAATGAAGCAGGGCAGCCAAAGGCATAGCCGGAAGGGAACAGAAGAGCTTTTTCCACTGAGTGCTCATCACCGGGTTCATTGGCAGTGCCGGCCAGAGATGGAAGGGGAGAAACAGGTTAGTTTCCTCTCATCTTATGAAAAAGATGATCTGGAGTTAAAAAATGAAGGTCGCAAGTGGCAGTTGCCTGACGCCTGTCCCCAGACACTCCTTTCCTGATAACCATGAGGTTCCATAGTTCAGATCCTGAATGGGCTTTTAGGAAGTGCAGGCCTTTCCCACACCAGCTAGAAGGGTAGCCAGGCAGTAGAATTTCATTCAACCCTGGGGTTCCCACCTGACAGAGGGAAGTTAGGAAGTCTTACTGCTTCCCAAGTCCTCTTCCCTTCTAGGCATTTATGGAAAGCCTTTTAATAGAGCAAGGGAATTCTGCAATCCAGCTTACCTCCCGCCTGACCCCAGGAGCCACAGTTGACAGCGATGTGTGAGTGTTTATGTTTAGGTACACGTTTATATGTATATAGATCTAATTGCACATAAATGGGTAGATATTTATTTATATATTGCACCCTGAATTACAGTAAGAATAATAATTGTGAAGCTGTTTCTAAAGCTTCTTGTTCAGGTTCTGAGAACCACGGGAGCCTCACACTGGGGAGCCATACCCAGGTCAGGGCTTTGAGGACACACAGCAGCCTAAGGGCAGCATGCCTGTAAGGAAATGAGTGGGTGGTTATCTCAGAAAAGCAGCAGCACACACCCCCAAGAAATGGCCCCAAGAGCAAACTAGGATAGCAGGGGCTGCTGCCGCCGGGGCACCACAGAGAGCCGGGCACCCGCCTCACGTGTCTTCTGTCTGGCTTGCACGCTGGCTCCACTGAGTTAGCTGTGTGAGCTCACTCCTATCTTTTGGTGGTTAGTGTATCTTCAACTCTTTTCTGCAGGACACTGGAAGATTCTTAGGCCGTCCCAGAAGGGGTTCCCCCATAGCCTTGAAGGTCTGAGCAGGGCACCAAGGGGTTCACTTTTCTCCCGAGGCATTCAGCTTGGGGTGCATGCGGGAGGGGCGGACAGCCAGCCGGCTTCCCGGCGGCAGTACGAGAGCCCAACAGGAGAGGATTAGCTGTGCCAAGGAACACTCCGCTGCTGCCTGTCTACTGCCCACCTTCTCTCAACCTTTATTTTTGCCCGTGTTTTTAACCTGTGCTCTTGTGAGTTCTTGGTGTGTTTCTTTGTGAGTTTTTATTTAATTGTGTAACTTTGTTTTTGCCGTTTACTGTGAAACCAAGGTGTCGTGCTTTTATTTATTTATTTTTTTAACAAATGTTACATTCTTATTTAAGAGAATAAATTCCAAACAATCTTTGGGTTTCTGAGTTTTTCTTTTCCTTCCCTTTCTCTTGACCAGAGGGTGGGAAAGGGGGAAGCTCAGGCAGGTCTTGGGAGTGGGCTTGAGGCCGCTGTGGCTCAGGACTCCCCCTCGGGGGGTCAGCAAGACAGCAAGGTGCAAAGTGGGGAAATAGGTTTTTATACCTGACATAGGTTCCCGTTAACAAAGGACTCCTGTGTAGGGGCTGGAGTGGTGCGAAGTTTTGCTTTGCAGCAGCTGCAAGTGGAGAAAAGCAAGACGGATGCCACCTGT